GCAACTAGCACTATGTTTTAAGTTTCGTTTATGAATCCTAAGTTGCAGATGTTCATGGGCGGCGATAGTCACTTTCCAGGTAACCCGTTTGCTCGCATTGCCCCTCTAACATAAAAAAACAAGTAGTTCGTGTTTTAAGTTCATCCTGTCCAAAACCATTTTACCAATTATAACTACAATTAATTTATTAACATACGTACTACGCTCTCCTCTACATTAATTCGTAACTAGTAGTCATCAATTTTGATATTCTCAAATAAAAAGTGAAAGTGATAGACTTTGACAGACTAAGATATGCACAACAGAAATCTCGAAAGAAATCATTATCGTAACCGATTAAAGCCATCCATTCAAGCCTGTATTTTTACCTGTATTTATATCTGTCATACCTGTATGTATCTAAATGAACCTACCTATTTATTTCGTTTTACTGGTCAATAGGGCCCAAAATTATCGTGTGCCCGCCGGCCCCGGTCATGACCTAAGAAGGCCTTGAATTAAATATTGTTTGTAAAACTTGGTGCAAAAATTGCAATATTTGCTTACTTAAGTACTTCTCATTTTCCTTGGGTCAAATCTTAATTGGCGAACAATAGAAGTCTAATTTCGGCATATGGAGGTTATTACGACAGTCTGAAGACTACAGCCATTATCGGAGTTAGTAATGTACCTTAACTTAGACCATATTAACTTTGCGACTGCTCTCGTATTAATATAAATTCTGTTAATCCCTTCACTACATGGGAACCTTTTCTTTTAAGGGTGAAAGGTATTCTATGTCCTTCCTCCTAAAAATATGCGTGCGTAATTTGAAGATGATCGGTTGATTAGATAAGCCGTGAAACTGTAACAAATGAACAAACAATTTTTTGTATTTTACTGACTTTTGCTCACGGTTTCGAGGCGTGTATGTTTTTTTATCTTTTCGGCAACAGTATTTTTTAGGACAAAAGACATCCTAAGTCAACAAATATGAAAAAGTTAAGTATTTTAGACGTGAACTCGTAATACGTTCGTCGTTTGGTTTGACTGAATGAATGACTGGATCGTTTTGCCTTTTGTAAAATTAGTAATTATACACTTTCAGATAAATTAAGTTAAGAGTAGAGAGAAAACTTTAGCAATAAACTCTGATAGGACTTCACACGCGGCGTATACCGTGCGCAGAGTAAATAATGTACAAGATCATAGATGTCGCTAGTGTTTTGTCAACCTTTCAAAAGGGGTTTGGGTATTTTTCATACTTAACGAAATAAAACACATCACTATGACCTTGTTACAGTTCTTTCAAACGTCACTAGTACAACTCTTAACGCTACAGAATAAAAAATATGATCTTTCCTTAGCAGGTTCTTTAACCTTTTGTATGTTTTTTATGTTTTTCTATGCTGATACATGTAATAATAATAGCAGTCATAGGATCCCAAACTGGGCAGATTATCTACAATAGTCACTTAACTACTAATAGACCAATTTAAATATAGCTAAATAGTTAAATAATAGTCAAACTATTGATAAATTAAACTGAGATACAGAACGACCTATCGAAATCATCACCGAAGTTGGTATTTGTCCTGGGTCGGAATCGATCCCACCAGCTCAGTTGTAGTTGATTAACAGACCTGGTAGTAGTTATATAAATTAGCCTTGAAAGTAGATTGCGATCAAGTAGCATTGTCAAAACGACTAAAACCTCTAACTATTGAATATTTCAAAGTAAAAGTAAATATATACCACTTACCAATGTATGACCAAAAAATACTTTAAATAAATATAACAAAAATAAAATAATAATTTTGTGTAACATTATAAAGAGTAATTTATAAAATAATAAGAAAAAAATAAAAGACAACCTTTAAGAATAGCGCGCTTAAGGGCAGAAAATTAGATTTGGCTTAGTTGAAATTCAAATGAAGAAGTTAAATATAATAAAGTACAAAACATTAGGTAATACTGTCAATGTCAAATTCTTGATAGTCTGCAATTTATTTATGTGACCCCTGAATTTTTATCATCGCTTCGTAAATTATTATACCTAACCTACTTCGTGTCTTAGGGTCCTGGGTAGTATAAATTGTTATTGGGATTTATTGTAAGAAAATTCCCAGTACTGGGTTCGTTCCTCTGGCGAGGGTATTAGGTGAATTTTCGAAGTGCAACATATCTCTGTAGTGAATATTAAAGATATTGACTAAATAAAAATATATCTTGACTTCAATGCACCTGCATGACGTTGTAATAGGTCGATTTTTTTCTTCATATTTGAATGTAAATTTTTCAAATCGGTTCATGACTGATGGAACCTCAAATTCCAATACCTTATTGGAAGTCGGTCAAAAATTTAAAAAATCAGAAAAACAAGTGACAATCGGGTTTCAAAAAGCATTAACAAACTAATACAGAAGTTGCCTAGTTGGCGTTGTATATCAGTAGCATGCAAAATTTTGTGTCTGGCCAGTCCCAGGGTCTAATGATCGGCGTGGAGATACGCCCGCCGCCTCCCTGAGAGCGACTAGGGTTGGCAGTGTGATGTTTATATGTGATAATTAAAATACAATGTAAGATTTATTTATTCAGAAATTAGTTGTAGGAGTATATATGCTGTTATTGCGATTGTAATTTAAAATCTTTGCTTGATTATTACCAAACCAAATGGTGTGAATGGTTTTTCTATTTTTATATAGTGTAGTCCGTGTGGTGACGGATTAAGAATACGAGGTGTCATCACCCCTATTCATATCGTGCCGACTAAGGGACAACAGCACTGCAAAGAGAAGGAAAACTTGAAACAAACCCTATACCAAACCGTCTGGGCAGCGTGGTATAGTAGACCAAAACCTCCTGTCTAAGGAGAGGCCTATGTCCATGTTGATGTGATGTGATGTGATTTTATATAAGGTTAAAATCTTTAAGTCTTTCTAAGATGAAAATAGCGTCGAGACGAGTAGGGCCTTGCGTGCGACATAACCTACACAAGCTTACATTTTTCATTCAGATATGTTGCTTAAAATTTTCCTTCAATGTTACCATGTTTTTCATATTAATGCATGCACTGTGTTTCTGTTCTCCCTAAATCGTAAATACACAAAAACAACATAGCATACATTTTTCTTAGCAGACAACCCTACAACCCGGCGTCTAGTTCTGTAATGAAGCAATTTAAATGCATGAGGCAGGGCGAGAAGCGCGTTTGGTGGGGGGAGCGCCAATCATAAATTAACGACGTAACGTACAAACAGCCGTCTTTGAATTTAAACTCTATTTTGCGTTCCCTAAAACTCATATTCTTTTGTCACCATGTTGCAAATATGATTTTTAGGTAGCGAAAGAAGTGGTAGGTATGGATGATAGTGGCCGCTCGGGGTAAGTACGGTATATCTCTGCAGGTACAGGATTATAGGAGGGTACGGAACTACACAGGCGAAAATGTTTTCCTAACTTATTTGGAATAGTGAAAGGAAAAGTCGTGGGGAAAGTGATATCGGTTTGGGCTATTTAACTACCTATGTTATTTGGTTCGACCTTCTTGCTATATTAGGAATGGATTTTCTGATCGAACTCCTTTCGTGCTTGATTAGAATGAATGTTTGTAGCTACAGAAGAGAAAACAGTTAATGAGAAAAAAAGTTACATTGTTTTCATATATTATACGTATACTACATGTGAAGCTGTTAGATTAGGTTTTGCCATAATGTTTAGGTGCTTACCTTAAGAATTGGTACACTAGCTTCAATGAGTACCAGTTGTTTATGTAATAATATTTATACTTATATTGTAAATGTCAAAGTGAGTTTGTTTGTTTGTTACGCTTTCATGTCAAAACCACTTAACCGATTTTATAAATTATTTCACTGATGGAAAGCTACATTATCAGCGAGTAGACATTCATTAGGTATGATCGAATTCTTTGTCGCAAAATGGATGGAGAATTCGGCACGAAACTGCTATATGCTATTAGTTTGGTTCACATGTACAAATTATTCACATAGAAGAACCATGTCCAATTAAAATTAGTTAGCTTTGCAAGTCTTCTCTAGAAACTATGTATTCTCACCAATTCTCACAATAAATCAAAATTTTAAATATGTAACATGATTACAATCAGATTGATATGATTACAATAACTGTTCAAATTATAGATTTGTTAATCTTTAAGCAATTTATTCGAAGGTTATGTAAAGGTTAATTGGCATATTAACACGTCTATTTACCAATAGATTAGGTAGGTACATTAATTATAACAAAGTTACTGAAAAAACTTAACTTAACAGTCATGTACCCTATTGTATTATTAGAGAATTGAGTATTTTAATCTATATGGGTGTTGTTTGTGTATATTATTTAGATATTAGGACAAAATGTGTATATGTGTGTGTGTTTTGTTCATTATTTTGTAGGTGTTGTAACATGACTTAACAAGTTATTTACTTACTCTGTAGTATAGTCCATTCTGGTTGTCCGTGAGAGATCGCAGACTCCAATAAGACAGTTCATTGTACTATTTCTTAAATTGTTTTAGATTGTACAATACTTCATTTGGTGTGCAATACAGAGTATCTATTTTTTTATGATATATCTATGGGGCAAACAAACAGACGGGTCACCTGATGGAAAGTGCCTACATCCGCCCATGAACGCCTGCAACTCAGGATTTATCTATCTATAACTAATTACAATAAATTTTTATTACCATATTCAAAGTGCTGCTGTTCTGTAAACGATACGTAAACATCGCTACCTATAATCATACAAATAAATAAAGCAGGTGAAAAGTAATTAAACGAAGTAATGGAGTAAAAAGATTTACAACACTGGTTATCTAAACCTACATACACAAATGGACTTTAGCTTTTTAAACAGTAAACAAAACACATCAATAACCACAAACTAAAAAATTTGAAAACAGAATCCTAATCAAAACTTTTTACTTTTTTATCATGTGTGGGCGGTGTAGTCATTACGAGGGCCATGCATTCTGTCACTGAACATAACGATTCACGATGTCTGGTAATGGTATTCCGCCTACCAATTCCACCTATTTCGAGATACGCATCGGTGGTCGGCGACACGCCCTACTCAGAACAAATGAGCGTCAAAGCACGCGAACTGACCTTAACATGGAAATCATGGTTTGTGGGAGATGTTTGACAGAAACTACAGACTTAAAAAATTAGACATGCATTAAAATATGTAAAGAATCTGAATTGTTATAAAAATATTGATATTTCAAAATGTAGAAATAAAATGGGAAGTGAATATTCCTTTCACCATCGGACCAAAAAAAATAATTATTAGCTACTAGCTTTTGGTAAGATCTTAAGAAATTGCATATCATACAAACATTTGTTCTGACCCGGGAATCAAAACACTAGACCTCAGAACAGCAGTCGCATACGCTACCACTGCACCATTTATGCAGTCTCGGTGGCGCAATGGTAGTAGTGGTACTTAAAATAACTTGCAACCCTTGACGCTGCGCCGATTGTAGTGGGTTCGAATCCCACACGGGCCAAAGATTTCTGTGATTGTTATTTTTGTGTCTATGGTTTGAATGTTTGTAAAGTGTCTTTTAAATAATAAAGTGTGTTTTTCACTTCTGAGGCCGAAATAATGTCTCCATGTCTCCTAGATTAATGTAAAATATCCTTATGTAATAGTGCATTGACACATTTTTAACAGAATTAGTAAAAGTACCACATTAACGGACATTCAGCCCTTCCTCTGCAATGAATTATGTGAGTACTATTTTTTTTTTGCATATACCAAATTTATAAATATTTTTAGTTAAAAGGACCGAGTTGTGAATGCGTCCTAATACATTTCCTTTGCCCATTGTTGAGCACAATCGACGCTTCTTAAAAAAAGAAGAAAGGCTACTGAACTCTGTCGCCTCTCATAACAACTTTTATTCGGACGAATAGATTTGTTGACGTTTCACGGCATGAGAAATAATCGGAATCTTACTTCATATAATCATAACATTTGTATTGTGTGTCTTTATAATGAAACCCAGTTCTCAACCAGAAGCCAGTTCCAATATGGCGTTTCTTAATACTATACGTTATTTGCTCCTATCACACGTTATGGTGTATGCCATCCCGTATAATAATAATAATAATTACTTAAAGGCTTTTGAAGAAAACTGCAACAAATTAATAACGGAGCCGTACTTCGAACCTGAATTGGTTCTTGGACGATCGTGGAGAATATATTATGCGTGGAATATGGATTTAGAGGAAAAGTGCTTGGATATGGTGTTTACTAATGCTACACAAGCGGTTAGTAAAGCTTATAAATAGTCAAAAGTAGGAAGGTAGTAAAAAAATACGTAATCAGTTGGTGACGGATTAAGAATACGCAGTGCCACCTCCCCTATTCATCCCGTGGGTGTCGTAAGAGCCGACTAAAGAAGCAAACTACGCAGGACAACTGCATTGCAATCAGAAGGAAAACTTGAAACAAACCCTATATAAACAAGTCTGGCCAGCTTGGTATAGTAGGCCAAAACATCCTATCTAACTATAAAAGGCTGTTGATGATGATGCCATTGAAACACAAGTTTATTACGATTTCTGAAGAAATGAAATAAAATGAATAGATGTACAGTTTAATTAAATATGCATATTATGGATGCCAATTTAGTCGGACTTGGCCCTTTATACTATTCGTCATGCGCCAACGGCGTTTTCCTATTAAACTTTAGGACTTTATGATAGAGGTATACTGTAAGTCATAGAGGACACTACGTGTTGGAATACTAAGATTGCCAATAAATATATTTTAAAATGTACTGGCTTGACTGGGTCAATACCACGGCCTCACAAAAAACCTGTTTTAAGCAACTCTTTGGTTGCATGTAACCGAGGCTAAAATTTGTTGTTTCTGCCACCCATTTTCCCAACTCATAATCCTTTTTGAAATATATGCGTAAATATATGTATTATTTCTTCTTTGCAGATAGTGAACCGGGTTTATAATGACATGGTTGACTACTTAGAAATGCAGCCGTTCTGGGACGCAGCCACACTCCTCGTATCTATGGGTCAGGCCCGTCATGAAATGTTGTTGTTCGTCGACCAGGGAGCTGCTGGCCGATTCATCGGTGTGCCAAATGTGGTGAGAGATGGAAGTGAGTACCGCAGTTCTTGCAATTCATGAACTTCCCTTAGAATGAGTGGATTGTGTAAATTTCTACGGGGATTTTGTCGTTTGATTATAAGGAGCACGACTTTATACTTTTATCAGTAAAAAATAATTGAACTCGCCTGTTAGTCCAGTGATTAGCGTTTTGAATCGCAAAGCCAGAGGTTCTATCCAGGGAAGTTCGATTACCATCAGGACAAAATATTATCTGATAAGCACAATCATATGAAACTAAAACCGCCTTTCTAAGGAGAGGCCTATGTCCAGCAGTAGACTATTAAAGGCTGTTGATGTAAAGCACAATCATTTACACCAGTGTAATTAATAATATTATTATTATTTAATTTATCTAAAGTTTTGTATATATGTATGTTTGGGATCAGACGTCCGTATGTGAGATATCTAAAGTTGTCACTCAAAGTGTTGTCCCATGTGGGAATAGAACCAACAACACTCAATGCAGTATTAAATCCCATGTGTGCAGTCTTCATTGTTTTAAAATGTTTTGTCACATATTATTATTCTTTAAATATGTTTTGTTACAGATATATCGCCAAGTAAAAACGCGGTGCCGTTAATAAGAATCCATATGAAATTACTTTACAATGCCAAATACTTAGTCATGTCAGATTGCACTGTAGGAGTCAGCACTTTGTCAGCTCGCAGAGACTCCGACATATACCGAGCAGAAATTCAGGGTGTCGCTAGCACTTTGGATTTTGGACTTGGTTCACCAGCATGCATTGGTGACTACAACAATGAAGAAACAAAATTAGATGCACAGTGATTAGTTAATATTGATTTTTTATTTTTTATAATATTTTTTTATTGAATTAAGATACCTACATAAATAATGTTTAATTAAATTGTTGAATTTTGTTGCGTTTTTATACTCGTATGTTACGTATGCTTTACCGTAAAGAATCTTGTTGAAAATTAGTAGAAATAGATACATGCTACTTATGCTATTTATATATGAAATGCGTATGCGTGCGACCAAATAACCATAACTTGGTGAGTCAACACTGAATGTAAAAGTATCTGTATATAGTTATTTACACTTCCTGAAAAGATAACATTATAATTGATAATTCTATTAAAATACATAGACGTATATACAAATAAATATTTGTAAAATATAGATACGGAAAAAAATAAATACAATTATATCTGAGGTGACGAGATCATGAGGATAATATATATATTCTGCTAGCTGTTTCTTGTAGAATTCTCGGACTATAGCTTTAAACGTGTCACGACATGCTGACATCCGATATGCACCGCACTTGTTAGACCCTATATTTTATAAAATTATTTTAAGTCTTATACAAGACGATTTCAAATGATAATGACTTTAAAGTCATACTTAGATCAACACACACAATAACAAAAATCTGTTTTGTGAAATATTTTTAACAACATATATGTAAATCTAGATAATTTATTATATGCTTGTGCCGATCTTGAATCGGCCGTTTGCAAGTGGTTGAGCCTTATGAGAAGAAAGGGCAAACTCATGGTCACTATTTTAGCTGTTAGAGATGTATCGTTTAATACAACTGTAAGCCGGCTAGGCTCTACTGTAAATGGCTCAAACTACTTTATACAAACCATTATAGTTGTAAATCTCTAGTCGTATGATGAAGTCTATGAAATCCCGGGACCGGGACTTAGGTAGGTACATTTTTAAAATATACTGAGAAGAAATTTTGTTAGTTTTAGTTAATAAAACTTATTTACTTAGTTTCGACGATAAGATATATTTTACTGTAACCGAATTAAGAGAAGGTTTCTCTATTTGAAAGCTAATAAAGCAGAGAAAAGAATAGCGTAGTCAATATTTATTGCCCAATTATTACAAGTCTCTGTAAATGGGATTGTACATTCTCCTTAATTAGGATATTTGGGTTTATTATTCATTCCTATGCTAGCGTGTGCTAATGGCACCTCAGTGAGAACCGCGATCAATGACAATGACATTTTATATGATGCTTACACTTTTAAGCTTTTTATAAGATTTGTTTTTGTGATTTGGATGCTCCTTGTTGTCTAATTGGAAAACTGTACATTTGTCTAGAGTACTGTTCACACGAACACGAAGCAACATCTAGGTCTAATTCTAGATGTTAGAACAACAGACATTAGAACTTACTTAAAGTAATATCTTACATCAAAGTAATAAAAAAAGATAAAGAAAAATACTTATCCTGTTCATAGAACAATCTTCGCTTAGCAAGCGATTTAACAAAAATCCCTTAACTCTTCAGAATTTTACGAGTTCTTCATAAAATTTTTAGTAAAAACAAAGGTAAAAGTTAAGATTTTTCTTTAATTACTGCACAATCTGTAATATCATTCATCATCATTACCATATCATCATCGTCTTCCTGCAAAGTTCATCGTATTTTTTTTTCTATTTAGTATTTACAAGAAAAACAGGTATATAAATATTCTATTAGTCAATCTAGTTTTCATAGTACAAGCTTTGCTTAGTCTGAAACTAGATGGCATTGTGTGTTAGATGTCCGAAATATTATTATTTTATTATTATTTAGGATTGGCGCAATTTGCAAGATTGTAATTTGTTTTTATATCTGATCGCCTGCTTGACGCTCCCCTTAGAATATAATCGACTTAAAACGGGATAAAAGAAGAACTTAAATATGGTTAAGGAAAGCGGACAGAGGTAGGGCATTATAGTAAGAAATACTCCAATCTCCACCATCACACGATCACAAGTGGAAAACGGCATTTAGACTAGAAAGAAGTGGGGATTTTTTATATGGTAGTTATAAGGGGCCAAACGAGCAGACGGATAACCTGATTGTGGCTATCAAGAATTAATTGCTAATTGCAACTCAAGAATCTCAAGCGCTTTGCCTTTACGAGCCCCCTCCCCTCCTCCCAGAATCAGGGAGCATGAGGAGGGGGTTTTAGCTCCTGTAACTTCACTTACTGAGTAAGAAGCAACGAAAGAAGAAGGTTTTCTGTGCGGCCGGTGGCCCGTGGCCCGTCGAGCCGGCCCTTTGTTCTCTTCCGCGATAAATAGCTTTCTCTGATTGGACAGGCTGCTGACAACCTAGACAGAGAAATTATTACTTTATAATTCTTCTTAAGGGTTAGTAACTATATTTTGGATTCATATTAGTTTCAGAAAGCAATTACGGTCATAAGGAAAAATTCAGGCATTAAAAAATGACGACCACATTTTCAGTCGCTGTTAAAAGAAATGATTGAGTTTTAGAAATGTCAAAGATATCTTCCCTTATAAGTGGCAAGGGCGATATAATATGTGACCGTAATTAAAAGATTGTTAATTGAAACGATATCCATGCGTCAAATATTGTCATTAGTTAGAATAGTAAAAACTCATACGCATTATTTATTTATTTATAATAACTTAATGCAAACGTTGTACACAGGCGGACTTAATAACCAGGGCTTCTCTGCCAGTCGATCTACGGGTAGTGTAGAAATATGATGCGGTAGGTGCAAGGGAAGAAAGAAAATTTGACTTTATTTATTAATTGAAGATAAATCTAACTTTAGGTATAATATGCAATTATATGAATAAAAGACTATATTCATTACTACATATAATACATAGAGGTCGCAAGTATGTATACACATACAATACATAGATATACACATACATAAATATATAAATATCAAAATACACAGTCGGGTACTAGCGTTGTGACCTGTCTGTTAATTTATTTTAAAGATGATCTTGTGCTTTTTTCTTGTACGTAAAGCGGTTGGTGGAGATCCTGATTTCAACTGGGAACGCATTCCATGGAAGAACTGACTGTGCATAGAAGGAAGAATTTATGCAGTTGGAAGTGTGAGGAGGACAAAGAAGAAGCATATTAATTTGTTGACCAAAGATCTCGATCGTGATTATAGCTTAGGAAACGGAAGTAGGGAACCAGGTAATCAGGTAACGATGGGGAATTGAGAAATGAAAAAAAATATGTTAGTTCACGCAGTCTTCGGCGTAGACGAATTGGGAGCCATTTCAGTTGGGAACGTAGAGCAGACACATGATAATACTTGCGACGGTTAATAACAAATCGATACATTTGTTGAGAAGTCGGTCTAGCTTATAGACAAGGCCTGCATTTAGGTCTACGTATTAGTAAATACGAGTTCCTAATAACAACACAACCGACTTGTATACTGCGACAGGATGCTAATGTATTGCAGGAATATCCGTTGCAAAACATTTTATTCGACATTTAATACCTGTATTGATGTTTCGATACACCGGTATTGCCTTTATAATGGGTCTAACTACGAATCAGGTTATAGTGTTATCATGGCTATCTTAAGCACCATTGGTATTCTGGTAGTTACTATTCTTGTATCAGAGGTAGCTGTCTTGGAACAAAAGTCGGATATATGTACATATTATGATGCAATCTGCAACAATGTGACAAAAGATCCATTCTTTGAAGATAAAGCAGTAATTGGAAAGCCGTGGAGGGTTTATTTTACTTGGAATATGCAATTGGATGAATACTGCTTGGAATTTACATTCAAATATGCTGATAAATTGGTTAGTAATTTAAAAATATTAAATAGATTATAATATTAATTTTACGTCAAAAAATTATTATTATTATTTAATAGATTATTATCTTATGCAGAGAGAAGGAAAACTCGACACAAACCCTTTACTAAACCGTCTGGCCAGCGTGGTATAGTAGGCCAAAACCTCCTTTCTCAGGAGAGGCTTATGTCCAGCAGTGGACTATTAAAGGCTGTTGATGATGATGATGAAATAGATTATACCAATTAATAAACCATTTTCGTGTGGAGATGGATTAAAAATACGGAGTGTCACCACCCCTATTCATCCCGAGGGTGTCATAAGAGCCGACTAAGGGAGCAAACTCTGCAAGACAACAGCACTGCGAAGAGAAGGTAAACTTGAAACAAACCCTATACTAACCCGTATGGCCAGAGTGGTATATTAGGTGAAAACCTCCTTTTTAAGAAGGGGCCTATGTCCAGCAGTGAACTATTAAAGGGTGTTGATGATGATGATGAATAAACCATGGAACATAGATACCATAGATTTCTACATACATACACAAATTTATGCGATTTTCTCATCAGAGTAATCAGAGACTTTTCTACCCTGGCACTTTTCTATCGTCACATGATTCAAAAGCTTTATATACTGTTTTGTACTATTCATACAATCCTGAACGTCTCGGGTACTTTTGACTTGTCCCGTCTTTACAAAATCACGAAATTGCGAAATGTTGTTCTGAATATGGTTTTGTTCCTTCGTTTGTCTTTTATACAGCTGTTTATAATTCAATTTTCAGACGGTGAGCCGGTTAAAGATTGATGTAGAAAATATGAAAATTAAACCACCATTGTCCAAGGAGGTTTTACTAATATCAATGATTGCATCTCCTGATATGTTACTATTCAATGATCTCAGTGGCATACCAGGGTTGTTTGTTGGCATGATATACGATACTGTAGGTAAGTACATACCTAAATCTTTGTGGGGAAATGTTGTCACCTTTTTCTTTTTACGTGTGGAAACCCCCTCGGGCCGTCACCCCAACGCGGTTTGCGTCAGGGTAGTGTCGAAATCGGACACGGTGTGCCACTCTGGGCCTGTAATAGGTGGGATCCGGAACTACTGTTATTAAAACATCCGTAGAGTATGTCACCTGGCATAGTTACCCTTTTGAGTAAGAAATACTCTAGTGCCTTGACCGAGAGCCTTGCATCGTGCTATGCTATACTCGTATATATAAGTGTGCTTACAGATGCCTAGATGATAGTTCGGCTGTGGCTTTATAATTTTTTGACGAAATAAATATATGTAAATTTTCATTTAGTGCTTAAAATACTCTAAAATTTATTGTTATAAATAATTACTTCATAACAATATATGTAGAGACCGATCTGTGTCTCCCCTGTACCTACTTATTATTAAGAGTTTTATATATTTTATGTTCACTGGTTTCGGGGTTAACTAAATCGTGTCATGAGTATTTACGTCTGATATATGTAAGTTTTGATCATTAAAAATTCACTAATTTCTTGTTCATTTAAGAAAACAAGAAAATGCCTAAGAAGCCACATAAAATGGCCATGAAGTTGCTACACAAAGGTCAGTACCTCCTGATGACTGATTGCAGTTTCGGGACTACGTCGCTGTCTGTCCGGAAAGATAACAGGCCTAAAAGAGCAGAAATAGAGGCAGTAGCGGTCAATTTTACACTTGGAGAACCTTTTCCAGCGTGTATCATGGATAAAGATTCTGAAGAATAATTTGTAGCATTTTTTGTTTTATTTGAATGTTTTCCATTAAGGAATCAAGGCAAACACTAAAGATTCATTTATGTCACATACTATGACTGTTTCAATTAATCCAGTCTATTTGGTGACATGTTTGGTTGCCAACATACGTTAGTCGATTAATAGTTGATGGGATGACAATAATTAGTCGATTGATTGCAAGAATTAGTATCAAGTATGACTAGTTTGACAGTTGGATAATCGAACTGCTTGAAGGATTTTTATATGCATAAGTGATTTACATTAAGCACTTGAGTCACTTGAGTCATTTGTGGTAGCTATTATAAACCTAGTAAGTAATGTGAAGGAATTGATTGTTGTACTTTTTAAATAAATACATTAGATTGTAATCGATATGTGTTTCTTTCTATGTTATTGATGAAGATCAGTTTGATTAGACATAAAATATCTACAATCAATACTATTTATAAGAGAACGGGTAGAACAGATTTATATTAATTCAGTTGATAAAGACAAACGTCTACATCTATTATTTTGTTCTAGATTTTGTCTAGCTTATCTCTTACTTTTGTAAGGTAATATCCGACTACATAGTATCTCATCATCATCTCATGTTCTGTAAACATGATTGTTTTGTGAAATATGATGAACCTCAGCAGTCGAATGTTTCTTAGGAATATCTATTACCAAACATTGTATAGATATGCAATACGTATGTTGATGTTTCCGAACTAAACTCTTACTATATAAGACACTGGAATTGAATACAAAAAAACTATAGTGTTAAAATGGTTCTCAAATCTATAGTACATATTCAGATTTTAGCCATCTTCTTGGTAGATGGTATATTCTTAGAAATAAAGCCACATATACGTCAACAAAATAATATGAATAGAAATTGTTACAACGTGACTATTAAACCATTTTATTCAAAAATGGCGGTGATCGGAAGACCTTGGCATGCTTATTATACTTGGAACCAGCAATTTAGGGACATGTGCTTGAAAACTATCTTTAAAGTTCCTAACAATATGGTGAGTAAATAAAATTACGTTCTGCGGTAAAAATTAGAGGCAGAAATAGAAAAATGGAATACACTTTGTGTCTCTATGTCGATTAAGAAATAACAAAACTTGAAAGTTTTAAAAAACTTTATTTGTTAATAAAATATTCAGTTTTTTTTTCATTTCTGTATTTTTATAGTGCAAACTCTGCTTAGTTTGAAACTAGATGGGGTTGTGTGTCAGATGTCCCAAATATTATTATTATTACATTTAATAATGAACTTAAAGCGAAAGGCTGCAGTAAGATTAGTGAAAGTAAGACAATTTAAAAAATGTTAAGTTGGTTTATGTATGCTTCTAAAACTCGACAAATTCTGCACCGATTGAGTCTTTTAACACGATACACAACCCACTTCATGGATTGTTTTTATTTATTATTAATTTATTATTAATTTATTAATTTTACGCGTCAGTTTTGTTCCCCATTTCTCACCATCGCAACCACAATATGCTATAGCAAAACTTGGTAGAGTACACTAAGTAACGAATACATTTATTTCTACAGAATCAGTTAGTTAGGTTCTTAAAACAAAAATTCTACGGACTGCACGAAGAACCAATATGGTCGAAGGCTGAACTGTTGATGTATATGGGCGACTGTAAGCAGATAGTGTTGTTCAGGGACCGTAGTGGAGTTCACGGTCAGTTCGATGGTTTACCATGTTTCAAACGGGATGACTGTAAGTTATTTCAGTAGCTTTCTTTATTGTGTCTAGTATTTACTCATAAATCTATGAAAGATTTTACTGTATTTCCTACTTCTATTTGACAAGAAATCTCATAAAAAAACCTCTGACTAATATCATAAAATGCACATACATATTGTGTCGTAAATATATTGTTTCTTTACCTACCTTTTTTATGATAGAGAGGGCAGACGAGCAGACGGGTCACCTGATGGAAATTGACCACCGCCGCCCATGAACGTCTGCAACTCAGGAGTCACAAACGCGTTGCCGGCATTTTAGGAAGGAGTAGGGAATTTTAGGAAGGTTTGAAGCTCGTATCGGTTAGGAAATACCGCAGCCGATTACCCGTTTGTCTCGAAAAGCGCACAGTAGTGGAGCGCCAACTATCCAGGTGACGTGGATGAAAATTTTGAGGTATTAGAAAACGGCATTAGAGGACGGCAATTGTGACTTGAGTTGTAGTCACGTGATAGTCACTTACTATCAGACTACCCGTGTGCTTGTTTGCCCCCTACACTGTAAAAAAACAACTAATCTGTGGGTCAAGTTCTTGTCTGCGATATGCCCGGATCGATACGACCATCAAACCTTCAAGAAAAGAGCGTACTTCTTCTAAAAGGCTGTCAACGCGTTTGTGACTCCTGGGTTGCAGATGTTCGTGGTCACTTTCCATCAGGTGACCCCGTCAGTTCGTCTGCACCCTCGTCCATTAAAAAAAAATATCATGAAGTCTTGCATATTATACGTTATCAAGGACACAGAAAAAGTCACAAGTATCATTCGTCCAAAAAAAAACTGGTCCCTTCAGATTTCCTCAGTTAATTAATAAAATTAACATAACGCTAAGAAATTTGTAGGTCAAATTAAAAATCTATGTGACAATAATGGTGCGCAATATTATTAATTTCAGTTCCACATGAAATACCATTAAGAACACCATATAAGATAACTATAAAAGTGATCGAAAGGGGTAAATACCTTCTCATATCTGATTGCACCACAGGAATAACATTTTTGTTACTTCACCCAGAGGAAAGGCCACCCCGGGTGGAAATCGAAGCTTTTGCGGCTAAGTTCAATTTTGGTGATATGTACCCAGCGTGTACTAAGGAACTTGATCCCGTGATAAATAATGTTACAGAAGAAGATGTCACTGAAGTCAGTACTACGAGTACCAAGAAGTACTCAAAATATGATTGGTGACAATGAGGATTCCTGGCTTAAGCATTTCAATAAAAATGGTTAATGTAAGATATTGCTCTGTTTTTTTTTTATTTCCCTTTTCCGTTAGGATGGACTGGGTTTCAAATTTCATTTAGGCTATCTTGTAAATAGGTTTTATCCTTTACATTTTTTTTCGATCTTAATAGAGATGGTATGATGAAATGTTAAATATGGAAATTAAATTATAGCGGATTAAGGTGTCGTAATTAATATGTGTGTGCAATGGGAGAGGCCTATGTCCAGCAGTGGACTGCGATAGGCTGATGATGATGATGATGATGAAGGTTTCGTAAGAGCCGACTAAGGGAACTAACTAGGCGGGACAACAGCACTGCAAAGGGAAGGAAAACTTGATACAAACCCTATACTAACCCGTCTGTCCAGTATAGTAGGCTAAAACTAAAGAGGTCTATGTCCAGCAGTGCACTATTAAAGGCTGTTGATGATAAAAGGTAAGAAATGTTGGATGAAGGGGGAGTGTAAACAATAGCTTGGACGGCACGATGGACTGACGACTTAAGGAAAGTGGCTGACAACCAATGGATGCGGAGCCTTAGTTAATCAGTGGACGGCAATCGCCTGATGATGAAGCAATATCTTGAGAAGGTCAGGGTCGTATCGAGCGCAAAGAAGGAAGGCATCGAGTCCCAATCCGTTAACCTATACTTACATACGCAGCGGCAGCCTGCAACTCGCGGCCGCGGCATGCACTTGAGTAGCACAACAGAGCCTCAACGGTGACATTGTAAGCTCATGAGTTTTCATATCTGGGACTCGCGTGGGCGTTGATAATAGTTGTGACAAGCCACAGGTAAGGACGAAATCGTGAACAGGTCTCCTCGTCGTGATCGGTTTTATGTGAGCCAAGCCATTCAGCGTTGTGAGCGATAAAGTCTCTAAGTATCACGGTCTCTGCGGATGAGATCTGCTGCAGCACAGAATCTGAAGCCATTTGGACGTAGACCATAAATCGGCCAGTTTGGATGTTACCGCTGTAGTACCTAGAGGCATGCATAGCCGCGGGGAATTGCTTAATTGAATTGAATTGAATTGCCGATCGAGCCGGGGACATTTTTGCCGAAGCATGGCTCTCCTACGATAAAATTATAGGTACTAAATAATGTTACGTACGTAATCCACGTAATCAGGAAATTCTAATAAATAAAAATCTCCATAGAGATACTAATAACAAAAACACAGATAGGTCAGAGAGTACAAGTAATGTTTATATTAATTGGCCCTACAACATTAAATTTGGGTGCAATTCCTAAAACTTAACCACCGTACTTAACTGTTTAACTTACCTCATTTGACAAAATTGGTAAAATGCCTGTAAAGTAGCAATACAAGAGCATTATTACGAGAATAACCAAAGAATATAAATTAATTTGAGAGATATGAGTATACCGAGTTAAATGATTACTGAGAATCTAATTTTAAAGAGCTGAAACATATGTTCAGGTAAGAAAGAGAGATTGATGAGATACTTAAAGAGTATCTTAGCTTTTCAATCTTTGGACAGTGTAACAACTAATGAATCTTCTGAAGTAGTAAAGACAAGGCCAACTGCCTTAAGCAAAAAGTCTTTAGTGCTGATAGTTGTATTGACGTATGAATACATATTTCTTTAAATTATTCATCACGGGACTTACTGCTTTGTTCAGTGTGATTTCTTCGGGTTTACTTCCATAAAGGATGTACATACAGTAAGTAAAGAATCTGACAATAATCTCGATACAGTGACTTGAGTTAGTTGGACTGTAGATTTTTTTGTGTTATCGACCCTTCTACTTTAAACTGCAAAGACCAAAAACCGCACGCTGGCTCGGGTACCAGTAGTCAGATGTACCCAAGAAAGGAAATCCCTGGTACCCCTCCTGTGTGGGAACCCCCCATGTTCCCTCTGTGCTCACAAAAGGGCACGCGCGCTGCTTATCGCTGCGCGTATCGCGTATCGCTGCTTCTGCTTCTGCTAGGGTGACAGATGGCCTTACCTGTCACCCCCTGCGCTCACTGCGCTTATGGAGGACGGAGGTCGTTCTGCGACTTATCCGTGCCGTGTCCACGGTCCGGCCATCGCAGTGGTGGCACTCAGGCGTTGGTTCCTTGCGGATCAGATACAGGTGATCCCCGAAACAACCTTTCCCGGTGATCACCTGCGTCAGCCGGTATGAGAGGGTTCCGTGACGCCTCTCGAGCCTATCCTCCATAACAGGTCTTATCGCCGCAATAACAGCGTGCCCGTTACTACATAACCCTATAAAAATAATTAAAAATCAATATTTTAGATTTTATTGTTTGTTCTTGGTTTCAGACGGTAAAAAAATTTGCTTACATTCTAATTATATTGTGTTGATAAGACTTTCTATACTGGAATATCCGTTACTATGTAGCTTTGAGAATATCATGCGTATGTTGAACTTTTACAGGAAAACAATAAACAGATTGTCTTTATAACGCAGCGGATTTCTCGTGAACAAGTAGTTTCAACATGGTGCCATCGGAATTGATACGCGTTGTGGTAGTAGCCACTGTTATGGTAGGTATCCGAAGTCATATAAAACCTGAAGCTATTCAAGAATATTTGGATATCTGCACAAATGTAACAAATAAACCATTTTTTGATCTTTCAATGGTGGTAAGAAAAAAGTGGACGATATATTACAATTGGAACCTAAAATTAGACGATGCTTGCCCGCAATTGTTTTTCAAGTATCCCAATGATTTAGTAAGTATTTTTAACACGGAGCAATTATTGATAGTGTAATTTAGTCACTTTTCTTTGTCCAGGAACTCTAAGATAAACATTTGTAGCTTGTAGCTGCATATAGTATTTTCTTAATTCTTAAAATAGTCAGATAAATTAACACCTTAAGATTTTTCTAAAGCGTATTTTTAAGATTGTGCATTAATTTAATGAACGCAACTAGACGGCGAGCCCTGTGAACATTGCTATAGTTATGTACTATTTACCAACCCATCTGGCCAACGTGGTGTAGTAGGCCAAATCCTCCTTTCTAAGGAGAAGCCAATGTTCAAGCATTGGACTTTTAAAGGCTGTCGATGTGATGTGCTATTTTGTAAATAGTTATGTGATGAGTGATGATGCATGAAGTGTATCATTGTTTATTGGATTGTAATGACCACAAAATTTCAGTGAAGCATATATTTCCAATAATGCCAAGTTTAATTGTATCATTTAATTTATTAAGAGTGTAATGCTGCTTAATCTTATCACCGCCCATATTTCGCATTCAGGTAATAAAACGAATCTACAAGGCAATGAGTGGACATTTAAAGACGGAACCTTCGTGGCACGATGCAGTCCTGGTTATGACAATCGGACCATCTCGTGAGATGTTGCTCTTTAACGATCCAAGTGGCACTCCTGGCCGGTTTCTTGGAGTACCCAATATGCGAGAGGAAGATGTTTTATGTAAATATTTTTTTTCTGAAATTATTTATTTTTATTTCTCCATAGTTTTTTTACTAGTTTATAGGTAATTTGTAAGGGTATTATCTCAATATACACTGAAGCCAGCATAGAGGGACGTAATATGCCAATGCCAAGAATGATTTATTGTAGCCAATTTAACGCTCTCATTAAAGAATTCCAGACTATCATTATCATCATCAGTATTTCAGCCAAAGGACTTTCGCCGCCGAACATAGGCTTCTTTCAAAGATGGCTAAGAAAACCGGTTGTATTTATAGTCGACCAGCGATGAAATGAAAAAAAACAGAAAGAAGAAAGAAATCTTATTACCACGATCACTACCGTCACCAAGATCATTCAAACTATTTTGTCTCCAAAATGTTTAACAACCATTTTCAGATTGTGTGCCAGGCCACTATAATCTTTTTTAAATTTACAAAGCATTCAATGTTCGTCTTTTTACCCGTGAACACTCTTTGTTACTCACAGACATGTTCGGAGCAACCAAACTTCCATTGTTCGCGATGGCCATGAAGCTGATTCAGAAGGGAAAGTACCTTCTCTCATCCGACTGTCGTGTCGGCGTCACATCACTAGCACTTCACGAAGCCCAGGTGCCAACGAGAGTCGAAATAGATGCGGTTGCGGCAACCTTACATTTCGGTGACGGATTTCCTTCATGCATCAACGGGCCTGATCCCGAAGAGAAGAAATAACTACAAAATGATAACATCATATTAAAAATTAGTTTGATATGGCTGGCAAAAGTATTTCTAGTAGTTTGAACAATATAAATTGAAGTTGAACTGGAACGCCTCCTTGAAAAAGAGGCTTTTGTGACAGTTATGCCAGGGCTATGAGCATCGCGACAAACTTCATCAAGTTTGAATATATACATATTTAATAGTTTTTACGTCAAACTCGTATTGCTATACTACTATTACTTGAATAGATATATATTTACAGATATAATTTAACTGCGAATTTCACAATGCCTCTTCTTTTATTTATACATTTTATACAACTTAACATTCTTAGTGCTTACTTAATATTGAATAAAATAGGTTGGTTGTAATGAGCAAAGCAAGCGGTTTCAATAATTTAGTGAAAATAAGAAGCGATATTTATTTTTACAAATAACTTTTAATATCCTTGTAATACTTAGATTTAGATGTCTATTTTTTGTTAACGTACAAGCTAATGTCATTCCATTGACACGCTATTGAGATTCTATAGCCATCGTTCAAAATATCTGTATTCTACTAACATAAATTCACAGTGTCAATAGACTGTCAATCTAGTGACAATGGCTCATCAATGGTGATATCAACAACATTGCTATATCTGTAAAATTAAATGTATAATTTTCTTACAAATTTAAAATGTACCGTTCACCAAACTAATACAAAGACATCGACGACATTTGTATCAGTGGCAGTTCGGTGACAAGTCATCGGCCATTGGTCTCACATAGTTACTAGAATACGAAAAGTGCAAAACTATTCCGACGACAGTCCATCGACAGTCTATTGATACAATATTAAAATAGCAGAATTAAGAACATAGTTTCCTTTTTTACTTTACAATTAAAACGATTGAAATTTTAATCATAAACGTTATTCTAAATATTTAAGACGCTACCATTTATATTTTTTATTATTGTATATTCAATTGTTGTGTTAATATTTTGTTGTTAATAAAATGTTTTCCCGTTTTATATCTTCTATATTATTACAAAACTTAGTTTCACTTGTTTTTATGGAATGGAGGGCAAACGAGGAAATGAGTCACCTGTCATACATCAACTCATGAGAGTTGCGTTGTTGTCCAAGAATTATAGGGATGTTGGTTCCTCGCTCAGTGAAAGTGAGGAAAGAACTGCTTACACCGTATTTCTATAAGGCATTATGCGCCGAAGCATGGTTCTCCTACGATAAAAAAACTAACAAGCTATCTAATCACATTTTGAAAGTTAATTTGAACCTATTGCCAAGTCTTGTATCTAAATAGGACTTTCTATGTTTAATGTTGTTGGGATGTCGATACTCGTACTTTAGGCATCTTGGAGGGGACCACGCTAGGAGATGGATATTTGAGCTCATCAATGAGTAATTGAGTTTAGACAAACTTGATTCGTTTTTACACGTATATAAGATTGGGATTAGAAATAGTAATTTGTAGGTAAAGTCACTTGGGGTGCGGGTCAAGTACCCTCCACGTGCGTCTTCGTCCTCCACGTGTTTCTTGTCAATTCAGACCACTGTGTCCTGGGGAAACGGAAGCAGGGGGCCGGTGCATCCTGGGCGACGTTCAATAACTTCCCTTACAGAGGTGGAGGGGTGGGTAATGGCGGCCGGCAAATAACTTGGCAGGGGGAGGGGGGGTAAATCGTTCTCGGTGCTCCTCTGTGCCTCAAACACAGTGAAGCTGACCTTGCTCCTCAAAGAGCAAGGTCGGCTTCACTGTCTCAAGATGATGGTAGACAGCGTTGAGATTGGAGTGTAGACTCCACGTCAAGCGTGATGAGGGGTGACTTGATGTGCCTAGTTGTGCTCCCCACACAGAATACGCAGGGCAGCCTACACATCTACTGCCGGATGCCTGGTGTTCTGAGCGTAGTCGTCCAGTGGAGGATTCTTAATCGCTAGCGAAGCTGATACCCCCCTGGGGTAGACTATTGTTCAACAACGCTATCATAAGGGGGGAGGGGAGTGCTTGGGTTCCGGGAACCTCACTCTCTCGGTGAGATGCAACTGGAAATTGCGTTACGTCCGGTTTTCTCTGAGGCAGTGGTATCGCACCAGTTGAGCCGGCCTGTTTATCACGGAGCATGGCTCTATTCTGGCGAACATGGACGCGATGGTCTATGACCAAGTTCGCTCTGTCGATCGGAATGTTGAAGAGGCCGTGCCGTGAAACTTGACACGGCCAGCATTGATCGCGGCAATGCTGGCTAGTGCTATGCTATGCTATGATAGCTGACTTTCAACCTCGACGCGTGCCAAAACCCAACTGGTGCGGTTGTAAATACTCGCCCACCTCCTTAGACTGAACAATAAGCCAGCTTAGCAATCAAACGGCGGCGAGCGCTGCCAACAGCTATCGGCCTGAGACCACCATCCTTCTTATTTAAGACACATAGCGAAGCCCCATACATAAAAGCACACTTCAGGGTTTAACTAACCGCTAAGCAAGAAGTTACACAGCTTGGCCAGACTACTCATTAAACGTTACTCGTTTTTGCCCGCCGCCTTAGAAGTAAGTTCTTTTAGGTACCCCGGATAATACTTTACGAGAAAATAACTTAATGAGTTTGAATAATTATTAACATACCGATAGATTACATTCTGTATTAAGTAGAGTATAAGCTAAGGTACATGCTAGGAATTTCACTCAAAACAACCGGTATGCTCTTGATTACTCATAAAACAGGCACTTTGTTTATCGGCCAATATCATAACATCCATCGGTAAAGCAAAGCTAATATATGATTTTATCTTTGTTGATGTTACAAAAGAAAACATTAATCCGCGTGTCTTTATAATGGAATAGACTTTAAGTCTTGCAGTAGTTCCAGCATGGTTCTATTAGATTTTATACGTGTTACGCTATTGACAAGTATTGTTGTAGATGGGGCTATTCAGTCAATTAGGCCTGAGGATCTTAAAGGCTATAACAAAATTTGTCACAGTCTAACGAGTGAACCCTACTTCGAAAAATCTTTGGCAGTGGAGAGTACGTGGACGGTCTATTACTCGTGGAACTTGGATTTGTCAAACACGTGTCCAGAATTGTCTTTTCATTATCCCGATGACACAGTGAGTACATTTCATGACAGGGTGTAGTTTCATGAAAAACTAATGTTTGTACTAAATAAGCGCACGCATATATTTTTTTGAATTGTTAGAAAACTATAAAACCTATTCCTACTTACTTATCGAGCTTTTGTCTATCTTTGTTTTTATTCATTTTCTTAATGAAATACATTACATGTTTTCTATGCAGGCAATAAATCGCATATATAGCCAAATGCACCGGTACATGCAGACAGAACCACCATGGTCCGAGGCAGTTTTTGAAATAACCATGGAAGGTCGTAGGATGCTGCTGTTCAATGATCCGAGTGGAATTCAAGGCAGATTTCAGGGAGTGCCTCTTATTGAAGATAACGAATTTGATTGTGAGTTTGAGTGTAAATATTGATTACAAAATTGAATTCAGGCTAATGGGTAAAATTGAGTAGTTTTGTCCTTGGAGTAGTCGAAATGGCTTCGTCTATATATACGCACACTGGAATATGAGGGAATATTTTACATCGCCTTTGTATTCGGTTTCCAGAATATTTAACAGCGCTGATAGTAATTCAATCAAGTTTCTAACTATAATGTACATAAACTTAGTATCTAAACAGATCTTCCCATGTTAACGTAGGGAGCAACAAAGACTTTTACTTTTTAAGCCATTTTTTGTGACCTAAGTGTTTATTGTTTTCAGTTGCATTTAAATCGACAAAGATACCGTTATTAGAAATGTCCATAAAGTTTCTTGAGGGCGGAAAATATTTGATCTCGTCGAGTTGTCATGTCGGCGGCGGCTCTGCGCTTGCGGTTCGTCGGAAAGGTAGACCCAAGAAAGCAGAAATTGATGCAGTTGCAGCCGCTTACGATTTCGGCAAACGTTTTCCAACCTGCATTAAGGAGTGGTGATCTTTCTTGAAAATTAATTAATTCTTACATCAATAAATATAGAAATGGTTAATAAATTGGGACACCACTGTTAGATGTTTAGTATTTGAGGAAAGAAGTATTTTACAGCCTGAAGAATCAAGAACTTGTTCAAGAAAAGCGGAAAATCGTTGTGAAAATTTCAAGGAATTGTTAAGGGACTATCTACCAAATTTTCACCACCATAAATCATTATTACTACTATTTACAACTAACTGAAAACTTATTGTAACAAATAAAGTAAAAGAAGACTTGAATTAATACGACTTACTACTTTTAACTGACTTTTGCCTTATCTAGACAAACTTCCCAAAGATTTAATCATGAATTGAGTAGATATTCAATACCTAATTTTTCCACGATTCTTCATCTTCTTTTGCATCATTAAAAAAATTACGAGTGAAATATTGGGAGTACACAATTTTTGAAATTATGGTATATAATTCTTATAAATTTAAAGATAGCTCTTAAACACTTTTTCATACTTACATTTAAGTAGTTTTGGAAGAATTTATTCACGCACGAAACTTTAAAAATTCTAGTGCCGTCATGACACTTTGTGAATTTAATTTATTTATATCTTTATTGTATACACTTTAATAGAAAAAAAAAAACAAAACAAAAGATGAGTTACAAATAAGTAAACGTAACAATCACCGGTCTTATCGCTCACAGCGATTTGTTCCAGACAACCTTAACATGGATTTTAGGTATTTAACAATATAGGGACTACCCTATATTGTTAAATACCTAAAATCCAGTGATATTGTGATATTGTGTTACGTGTATGTATACTAATACATACACGTAACACAATATCACGTGAATATTTAAAAAAATATTCATAAACATAAACCAACACATTCGCAAATATACATCTATGGACATTACACATATATGTACAAATATACACACATACATACATACACACATACCCATACATATTTGGAATATATAATATATTAAATAGTGAATCAGAACAGTATTTATAATGACAGATAAAAATCTTTTAATATTTTTTTTAAAACAGGCAACGTTTTAGCTTGTCGGATTGTTTCAGGCAAGTTGTTCCAGAGTCTTACTGCTTGCACAGTGAAAGATTTGTCTGCAAAATGTTTTGGCATTTTTAGTTTTAATATTACATTTTGATAATGCGTATCCTCTTTTTTCTTCAAAATGTTTTTTCTGTCGTAGTATTATTCCTAGCCTGTTTCGTTATGTAATATGTTATACTGTACATTGAATTAAAATGTTAGATTATTTATATTCTATTTCATTTCAAACTATAAATATTTGAAGAAAATAAGAAATAAGTACAACCAACAACAAAATTAAAATATTTCTTTGCATGCAATATTAATAACTTCCCCTGAATTAGATGTAAAATAAACATTTAATTATTATGATTAGGTGTTGTATCGTATTCGTGTGGTGATGGATTAAGAATACGGAATGTCACCACCCGTATTCATCCCGTGGGTGTCGTAAGAGCCGACTATAGCACTGTAAAAAAAAAACCTTGACACGGACTCTATACCCACCCGTCTGGTTACCGTTGTATAGTAGGCAAATACCTCCTTTCTAAGGAGAGACCGATGCCCAGCAGTGGATTATTAAAGGCTGTTGATCTGATGTGATGATGTACGTGACAGGGCAATATAATCAAGTTTATCTACTCAAAATGGAATTTCAAATATTACGTTTCTAAACAATTTGGCTACTGACCCGATTAAGTTAGAATGGGCAAGGCACAGTTTTATGCTTTTATCTACAGAAAACTGTTTTATAAGTTATAACGAAAGAGAGCGTGCCAAGAACACTATAATTTACTTCAATTCAATAAAAAAAATATATAATAAGATCGCTCAGTTTAAAGATAAAGAATTTCCGAGCAATAGTTTTCAATATTGTTACTCTTAGAATATAGATATGTCACAGTTTAACGAATCATATTAAGAGGACAAAGATCTTAATATATTCTTTTCTTTTTTTATACCTGAACCTTCGTCATGAGTCACTTCGTCCATCTCAGTGACATTTATGTTGTATCCTGTATAGTAGTTATGGAATTTCCCGCGATGAGATGTACGTTGCGTATGTTAAAATAAACAAATAGAAGTACGAGGAAGGGCGATCCCTCCTCCGTTTTAACCGACTCCAAACTGTCAGAAGAAGGACATGAATTTGGTTGAATTTTTTAAATGTCTCATAGCTCCTTCCTTTATAAACTGATTAGGAGAATTATTTTAATATTGTTTTAGAGTATACAATAATTATTCTTTAATTTGCTCACAAAAAGTCACAACTCGACAGAGGAACTTAGTACAGAGACTTAAGAAAGAAAGAAAGAAAATTTATTGGCACATGCAAAATTCTAAAAAGTGTCGATAGGTCTGCAGCTGAGTATACTGTTGGATGGCCACAGGTGACTTCCAACGCTGATTTTCAGCTACAGCCCATTTGACTGGATGACGTCAGCTCGAAACCATTAAAGTTTTTGTATGTGTGCAAATATATATGTTTGTGCGACACATCAATATTAACTATACTATTTAACGCAAGGAAAACAAAATCCAATGAATAATTAAATCTGACATTGTTGTTAATAATGCAGTATTCAGATAACAGACAGACAAGTAATTCTCGTGAAATAAAAAGCCGTCAAACTCAAAAATAGAGAGTTCAGTCGAGTGATAGAGGAGAGTGGAAGAAGAAAACGCCAACCTCAAACAACTTTGGGGAACGGGTAAGAAGATGAAGAGTAAAGTTCATCACCACCTCTCGCTAAGAATTATCTAGACGCCAAAAAAAATTGTAGTAATTTATGGCAATGATTTTTCTATGTGAATGAGAGGTTCTTCGTGATATATTCTCAAGAACATTTTTAGCAATATCATAGGTTTAAACATCAATTTTCTCACGGCTAAGATGATCCGTTACATAATATTTCATTTGATGTTTATGTTTCCAATCATAACATAATTTAAAGAGTGTTTAAAACGGAGCTGGAATTGCAAATGACGCTACAGTATCAATATGATTTTCGTGCGCATTTTAGTTTTAGTAGTTTTTGTAAATGCATACCTTTTGCAAAGAAAAGCGCTTACTTTTGTGAAATATGAACAGATGTGTAATAATATGACAGACGAGCCTTATTTTAAAGACGCGATGATAATTGGTCCTATATGGCGAATATATTATGCTTGGAACATGATATTGGGGAACCAGTGCATGGATTTAACCTTTAGGAAGGCTACCAACTCGGTTAGTTATTTTATCATTTATTTTTTTACTTTTAGCAATAGATTAGGAGGTATTGATCACAGACATTCCTAACCTAAAATGATGTTCATGATGATAATTGATTGACATTGATATATTTGATATTAATAATTTAATATTGGTTTTATTCTCAAAGCATTTTTTTTTTCTAAAGGAGTGAGAATTATTTATGTATTTATTATTTATTGAATTCTCTAGGCACATATTACGAATTAATTGGTGATTGATTTTGGTGCTTGAGGCGTCCTAGATTAGTCCTAATTCTGAGAGTGACACTTGGGATATTACAAAAATTAAGTTTAGTTTGTAATTTTTAATAATAATAAAATAATAATCTACAACATACAAACAAAGCCATCTAGTCCCAAACTAAGCAGAGCTTGTATAAGATAAGTACTCATACATTTTCACGCAGTCTGGTTTTTTGTTTTTTTTTTCCTTTCTGAGCTTGTTCAATAGATTAAAATACGAAATGTATTTATTATGTATCGTATGAAAACGTATTTTGCAGACAAAACTTCGGTTTCGGGAGGACATGTATTCATTTGTGGATACCATGCCTGCTTGGTGTAATGCAACACTTGTTATGACTATGGACAGGACTCGTGAGATGCTTTTGATTCCAGATAATACCTTTCCGAAGATTGGTCGGTTCGTTGGAGTACCGAACGTTCATAAAGGCGACTGTAAGATTTTTTCTATGTTCATTCAGAACGATTCCTTTCCTTGTAACTAATAATTGTATTGTTTGTGATCTATAGTAGACCTTTGTAGTTAGCAGATACGATTCTTTGGTTAACGCATTAATTAAGTACTCAACCAATCATTATGAAATTTAGAATTAGAAAATAAGTATTATTACCTATAGTAGTAGGAGTATAATATATATATTCTATACCTGTATTTTTTATGGGTCATCTGATGGAAAGCGGCTATCGCCGCCCATGAACGCTTGCTACATTTGATGTGTCATACTGATACCTGAATTTATACCTATACTCTAACGCGCACGACGATCTGATAATACTAATTGCATGTCCTAATCTTATACAATACCTACTCATTAATATAAATGCAGAAATAATGTTACGATAGTAAGTTGAAAATACATGTCTATGTACATAAGGGTATATTTATACGTACTATTAATTTCAGACGTAGGAGCAACCAGAGGAACAGTGTCGCTGTTTAGAATGGCCGTGAAAGTGTTACACGAGGGACGGTATTTGGTTATAGGGGACTGTCTAAATGGCGTTGTTTCATTCCTAGTTCGGCGAGATCAGAAACATACGTGGGGCGAAGTCACCTCCGTTGTACGAAAATTTGGTCTTAAATTTAGCGATGTGGGTTATCCCGCCTGCAAGTTTAATATGAGAAGAAAATTACGACGACGTCCTAAAAATGAAGATTGAAGATTTAAAGTAATTGTAATTGAAGTTATGTATTTATGATTTAAGTCTATGATATCAAACAGACATAGTATGAGACATTGTATTATTTTTTCTTGTTACTTTAAATGTAAATATAGTGTTACTAGTAAAAATATTTTTTTATTTGTACTTATAATTGTACGTAATATTTATTTAATGTAGATCCACTGAAATTATAATAATTATGATCCTATTCTTTATTTTTCACCCTCATCACATTACATCACATCAAGCCTTTAATAGTCCACTGCTGGACATAGGCCTTTCCTTAGAAATGAGGTTTTGGCCTACTCTATCACGCTGGCCAGACGGGTTGGTATAGAGTTTGTGTCAAGTTTTTCTTCTCTTTGCATGTTATATGTAGAATTTATCCAATTTCAAATAACTTAATGTCAACGCTTCTCACCTTTGACAAAATGGGGCTGCTAATTTTTGAGCAAATAATTAATCGTCAAATACTGATTAAATGGCTATAAACAGTACCGGTGACAATTTGCAATCTTCGTCATCATTTTTACTGTACATAATGGTGCTTTCTATTTTTAATTTTTGCCAAATCCCATTATCAGCTGCAGACTTGATTCCAATGAGATCGTCTAAAAATATCATAAGTAAGTACAAATAATGCTTACGAAAGGAAAACATTCCTTTTTAAATTCGGTTAAAAATAATATGAACTGTACTATGTATGTTTTACATGTTTTATAATATTGACTTTAAGTATTACATATTATTTAACTTTAAAGGTACATTTTACCTTCTCGCTTTTGAGCAGGTCAGTTTTAATTTCTCCTGGTACTTCATGATATTCTAAGAAATGTATACTGGTCACAATGATGAGCATAAACTTGTTAACAACAAGCCAACCAACCTTTTCGATGGCCCTCTGTGATTATTATTATTATTATTAAACCTTTTTGGATAGTGGTTTTACCACTATCCAAAAAGGTTTTTGTGAGGAAATATACGAGTTCCTTATATGAAATAGACAAATTTAAAGTTCGCGTCACCTACCGACTAACGCAGGTACTCAATAGCCATGGCTGCTTCGGTGAGTACCTGAATCGGATTGGATGCGAGGAGATGGCATAATGCCAGCACTGCGCAGTCGGACGAGGCCTGTCCCTGCCACAAACATTACTGTCATGCTGGCGGGTGAGGAGGGCTGGGGCGCAATAGTCTCCAGAAAGAGACCACTGAACGGGATCGGGAGAGGGCCAATCCCGAATCGTTCGCGATAATTAGTTAATCTGGCCAGCCAGAGCCAGAGCCAGATTAACTGATTATACGAAAAATGTGATCGGGCTGCAACACTTAGTGATAGGCTAATAGGCAGGGAACCCTCTGGTTTCTCCTGGAATAGGGCCTAATTAGGTGCGGCGTCGATCTGGGAAGGATCTCTGAAATCACATGGCCCGATTCCTCCCTAGAATAGGGCGCCCAAGGCTGACCGTCGGGATCGTTTTCAGTGGAGACATCACATACTCCTGGCTCTTGAATACTCAAGGAGGCGGGGATCCGAAGGGATTTTTCACCCCGTCACCAAAAAAAAAGGGTTTCTAAACACAATGAAGAAATATCAGAATTGATGAAATTGAAATTGAATATATAAAACAAGTGTAGGTTTGAATGTTTGAAAGTCTGCTATTGAAGATATTATTTGGCATCATGTATCTCTCCAACATTGAAAGCATAGTAGTTAATGGAGATAATCAATTGAATGACAAGGTCAGCGGTCAGTCGCTACCGAAGATTGCGGTTCTGGCAGATCATATTGGCGTGCTGGTGCTCACCTTAACATATATTAACGATACATGACAAAAAAATTGACGAAATTAATGAAGTAAATGTTACTATAGGAATAATGGCACTGTGAAGTAGAGGCGTGGTTGGATTACGAGTAATTGACAGAAAGCAGAGTGTAGATATTCTTGAGTAATGTGGCTTTATAATAATATTAATAATTACTTCGTTACATGTAGTTATGGATGATGCTTGCAACCATATTAGGTGCATGTAGTTACTAGATCCTGCCTTCAAAGTAGGGTATCCTGTAATTTAGAGGACAGTGTTCTACTACTGCTTCTTTCCCATATTACATTATACCTCATCATATTACACATTTTTCATGTATTTTTTAACGTTTATAAGGTTAGAAGGACGTGGGGCGTGCATGCCTGAGATGTTTCGTGTTTAAATGATTAAATACACCTAAATAGATATTTATCATGTGCTGAGCCGCGTTCTCATTGCAAACGCATTAGTGAGTTCCCTCCTACCGAGGGCAGATACTTCCCGAAGCAGTCTTGCCCGGAAGGAACCTGCCTCAATCGGAAAGAAAGTCGGGTTCCGTGCTGCGGCCCTGCCCAATCTACGATGACCAGCTGGAGCTCTCCATAGCCGCAAAACCTTCACGTGAAACCTCCAGTTACGGTGCGGTAACCGTGTATGGTTCTAACCACTAATACCCTCTGAGGGCCGCCAGAGGCGCGCCCTATTCGGGGAAGGAGAAGTTAGAGCCACCGCATAAACCGGTTCACCGCAGTGGCATATTTACAAGCAGGTTGAGTAGGCTGGAGCCTAGGGCGGCAAATTTGACCAAAAAATTAATTTGTCTTTCAGAAATGAATTAAAAATTATTATTATATACACGGAGAAAAGAAGAATTGTCAATTTAATAAAAATAACAATATTTAGGTACTATAACTCCATAATCTGTTAAAAAAAAAAACGCTTCGTGTAATATGTATTTGTCAATATGTTTTTTTTTAATATTTAGTAATTGTGACTAACTTTTATTAATCATCTCTCAGGGCGATATGAGGGCCCGCCTCTTCGCCGGACGATGCGGATAGAGAAGACCCTCTCAAACAATTACGTTTCTGTAGAGCACGCATTGATTGCTTTTGCACAGTAATGTGTAAGAGACCCATCACTGGTGTGCAAGGTGCGAGGCAACACCAACAGCATCTTAAAAATGCCCTTCAGTAGACTGGATTGCGCGATCATGAACCGGTGATGTAAGCTTTCTGCCGGATCTGCGGATTCATAATAACGACACTAAACAATTAATCTCAATAATTGTATAAACTCAATAAGTTTTTTTAGTTTACTAACATAGATAAAAGCCAAATGTGAGCTGAATCAACACTGAGTTATGTCACTTGAATAAATAAATAAATAACAATTATAATTAGTAGGGTGGCCAGTAAGGGTCGACCACGAAGTATACAATTTGGCGATGTTCTAAAAAATGGATAGATCAGAAGTAACAAAAACCGGCGGGCTTGTATGAAAGGTTTAGTAACAATAGAGGAAGCTCATGAGAGATATGCAAGCAGTAAAAATTGAGGGAAAAAATGTGTAAGCTTATGAATGTAATATAATAAATAATTTTATTGTGTCGTGAGATAAATTCACATGATTGTTTCAAAGTTTAACGTAACCATATCATCTTCATATCGCAATTTATAACTTAAGACGCGGCGGTGTCAATATGGTACTTTTCAATTTAATATATATGTTCTTACTTGTATTTCTGAATATAAATGTTAATGGCTTGCAATCGATGAAGCAAGAATCTTTTGAGGATTATGGAAAAATTTGCGACAACGTTGTTTTGCGACCTTCTTTTAAAAATGAGTTAGTAATTAACGTACCCTGGCGAGTTTATTACGTTTGGAACGCGTTTCCTGATAGCTCTTGCAGAGATATGAAATTCAAGAAAATTAATTCATTGGTGAGTGAATTTTTCATTTAAATCAATTGCTTTAGTTTTTACACAGTTTGGTTTGGATGGTTATGAAGCAGGAGAATGAAAGGAAAGTGCACTGTGTGACTCGAAATTGAATGTTAAGGTTATGGTTATTGTATTAGCTATGTTACAGATTTTGATGAAGGAAAACAATAATACTTAACAATTTTTACTTTATACTTTTTTTTAATTATAAAGTACATGTAAGTAGACAATGTAGTAGAAAATACCGATAGTTAAACATTATTAAACCCTACTAAATTATGACGTTAACTAAATACTGAATTTGGTACATTTTAAGTTTACAATACTTAAAACGTACCAAATGCGCTAATATTTTTTAATAAAGATGTCTTTCGAGCTGCTTTTAGAATACCCAAGCAGGTCCGACAATTTCGCATGATCGCAATTGAAATTGACTATAAAACCTTTCTTAAAGACTTGTAATAAGTTTCACAAAACTGACTTGTTGTCCACTAAACTGAACTTTCAACGTCAACGGTGCCATAATTTAGTAGGGTTTAATAAATCTTTTTGTTTAGTTGGTGAACCATGTGCGGACCGCAATGAGTCGGTATTTACAGACTCAACCTAATTGGGCCGACGCATCGCTATTTTTGACTATGAGCCAATATCGACATTTGTTACTAATAAAGGATGAAACTGGTATTCCCGGCAGTTTCATTCAAATACCAAACATTTTACATAATGTGTACAGTGGTGAGTACCCTAGTTTCTGGTAGGCATTTTAGCAGCTGCTTTTTTTTGAAATTTTGACTTTTTATAGGTTTTTTTTATCTTGTATTGAGTAATTTAATTTCAATTTCAGTAACAAGCCTAGATGATAAACAGATTCCATTATTTAGGATGGTACTGAGGTTGGTTCTCGATGGTCGATACCTCATATTGTCAGACTGCAGTGACGGAGTTACCTTTTTATTGGGTCATCGTACTGAATCCCCGATTTGGGGTGATATAAGAGCAGTTGCTCTTAATTATAACTATGGACCGGGTGTGATTTCCTGCGCACGTTCGTAGAACTAAAAAGAAGCTTGATTTCTTTTGACAATTACATACTTCTATTACCGAAATTATGTCTATTTCTATGATAGTTTTCACAGTTGGCTAATAGTGTTCAAATTGTGATTGTAGTTTTAAAACGATTTTTTTTAAGTTACTTATATAATTGAAAAGAATTATCATGTATTTGTTTTCATACCAATATTTTTATTTAGGTAAATTAATATACTATTTTTATTATACATACTGTATTTGAAGTTATGCTCCCTAATGAAATTTTAAGGTCAAAAATTAATTCTGATTTTTCATTTTCTTCTAATTTAATAATTTTACAGGAGCTTAGACTGAATAATACTAATCTCAATGTAAAGTTATCATAATTAAAATTATAGACAGACGCCTTAGAACGTCAGTAGACGAACACGGGTTTTGTGAACATGGAGGATTTTAAAATAATTTGTTGCCTTTACCGACAGTGTCGCTGGCAGAGTGGAGAAAGTCTGTCAGGCATACAATACTGTCTATCGTACATATCCATCGAATTGTAAAATGCTGCAAAAGAAAGTAGACGTATTCGGCATCTAGTACCACATCTATGTAACGTCACCAAAACTTCCAGCAAGCTGTCTGTTACTTTTTTGTTTATCATCGCAAAAGTGCGTTTTTCTTTGGTAACATGTTTAGTAATGATGAAGTTGTTATCAATAATATATATATACATACATATATTATCAGCTCCTACAGTAAATTGAAATATAATTACTAATTTCTTTAATTCTGCAAGAGAGTTATTTAGAAGGCGATCAATATTTCATTTAGTACACCAAAGTACGAGGGTTACTTACATAAATGTACGTTAAACGAATTACACATGTTTAAGAATGGCCTAGTTTAAGAATAGAGGGTTGAAGCAAGGAGAACCATCTCATATATAGGGAAAGTTGAGAAAGTGTCCAGCTGTATACTGAAAATAGAGATTGCTGGCGAACGAAAAACTGCGATATGAACATATGTTGCTATTGTAGACGGAGTGAAGTGTGCTGAGTTAAAATAATATAATAATACTTCCTTTTATTGTCCGAAATTTATACACGTTTATTTATTATTTATTGAATATTTTCACAGTATCTAATAAGTACACAGTGTCTAATTAGTATTTAAGCCAATATACATTTTTACAATGTTTATTTCTCTATCCTACTCTAACAACTTTAGGCGCTTTCTTTAAAAAAATATCCTAATGATACTGTGGCGCAACCAATTTAACACATTTCATGCTCTCGGCAGCGAGCAGCTTAAGGTTACAGACACTTTAAGTGACACACATAGCGGTGCCGCAATTCGAGTGTCCGAGAATTAGTTCCTTTATTACACTCTGTAAAAAGTACTGAAAGAACTACTTAAAACCAGTTTGGTGTGAGGTCATTGCCGGGGCAGAGTTATGTTTCTACGTTGCCACTCAGGCTGCATGGCGATTGCTTGCTACTACGCAAACAAAACTTTTGAATAATGAAAGTTGGCCTATAAAATAACACTAAAGTAGGCCTAGATAGATAACTAAGAATGGTTAAATAGTTATCAGAAATGAATTTAATGATTACTTATTTTCCTGATCATGCATGACTTGGTTAAGTTACCGAGGAACCGAAAGTTTAGAAAGCAACGGCGCCGTGATAACAAAACACTTAGCTTCCCCAGAAATGGTCTTTTATATAACAATGTATCCTATGAAGCTAGTAAAATACTAAACCCCAAATATTCGGTTTCAAAACGCATGTAACCTATAGACTTTGAAGTCTATAAAATTAAATTAAAGAATTGGTTGCTTGGTATAAGAGTTGGAAAGACTAAGGAACTCACTACCTATACATACCTCACATACAATTCCATACACATACCCACATATCCCTTTACCTACATACCATACACATCACAAACTCTTATCACCACCATTACACACTTTTAAAACACACTAATATTCCTCTCACTGCACATATTTGCACAAGATTTCAGTGTTCCTCATAATGTGAGAAGACACTGACTTCTGTAACACAGGTCAGGAGCCTTGCTCAAGAGTCAGGGACTTCACATATTGGTAACTAGACATAGATCTGGCTAACAGTACTTTCAGAGATTTTACTACTCTCATTAAAAACATTTTATTAGATATATTTAGGCATTTTATTGATTATTATTTTGAGTTTCGAAATACAACACTGAATTTACCCCTGTTATAGTATCAACAATATCTACTTAACCCAGGTACTGCTCTATGTATCACCATAACTTTGTTTATATTCAACATTCTCATAGATCTTTGTTGACATTTCGACGCGTGAGAAGAAATGGTACCTTTTCTTTGTTCACCGAGTCTTTATATTGGCAAATCATTTCGTCTTGTACTGCTATCTCGACATGGTTCTTTTAGAATCCATTCGTCTATTACTTTTTGCTTTTCTATCAGTTAAAGGTTTCAGTCTAAACACATCAAAAGCAAATGCCATATGTGATAAGTTGGCGATCGACAGTTATTCCAAGATTGACAAGTTGGTTGGGAAGCGTTGGAAGATTTATTACGCTTGGAACCTCAATGATAAGCTGGTGGACAACTGCATGGAGATCATGTTTAAGAATGCTACTCCAATGGTCTGTGTTTTACTTAATATTGTTGATTGTATAATGTTTAAAATTATTAGTTGTGGCGAAATACGTATCAATTTTTGGAACTTACGATACGCGATTACATTTAATATCTTCATGTGCTTAATAATTTACGTCTATATAAACAATTAAATGTTACTTAATTAGTTACTTTATTAGTAATCAAGTGATCAAAGGTGTAGAAAAAGACATGAGAATATTTTGATAATTGAATAAAATTACATTACTCGATGTATAGAAGAATAAATTTTTTTTGCTAAATAAGCCGCTACCAACTAATTTAGAATAAACTATCTAAGTATCCTAGAAACTTATCTAATGTTTTTGTACAGATAATAAATCGAATTTGGAACGATATGTATGAGTATCTAGAAAGTCAGCCATCATGGGTAGCGGCCACTTTACTGATGTCTAAAACACCACACCAGGAGATGCTGCTCTTTGCAGATGAACAAATTCCTGGCAGATATATTGGGGTAGCCAATATCGTGCGCTCAGAAAGTAAGTTTACTAAGAATTTATTTCATTTGCTACATACACTTTTTTTAGAAATCTTCTTTAGAAGACTTTTTAAGAAAGACTATGCCCCACCCGGTTATTGTTGGTACTGCCTAAAAGTGTTCGTCACGTGTGCTTTGTTTCGCAATGTGAAATTAATAAAGGGTTGAATACGTTGCTAACATAAAAATGCCTAGTTTTTATAAAAAAGAATACTGTAAGGATAGTTAGTGATTTTTTATTCAGAATCAGCAAATCTGATTCTATCAAAATATGCTTCCATGAGATACCGCATAATAAAGCAATTTGAGCAATTTTCAGGCTTGTTTCTTTTCTTATTTCTTTTCTTTTTTAGTCACGCTTTGAGGTTTTTATTTTAGAGATGAAACTGCGTCTAAATGTTAAAATTTGCTAATGACTAATGTTGTTGCTTTTTACTATTTTTTTTACCAAATAAATTGCTCCCTCAAAATGTTATATTTTAATTATTTACCAGTCGAATAAATCTATATTCACGTTTCTGCATCACCCATAGGTTGGCTGAAAGAAAATGCCTACGGCATTAAACAATAATCAATCGTTAGTTTTGTTCCTATACAATGTAAAGTATTATTTTAGAAAAGATTTTTGGAAACTTCAGCTTTCATTTTTAATATTTAAAAAAATATTAATATAATTTATCTTTCATTCCAGAAGTTAGACCGCACAAAAAGTCAGTGCCACTATTTAAGATCCAGATGAGGCTGTACTTAGATGGTCGATATCTTCTCTTAGCAGACTGTAACATAGGAGTCATAACACTGTCAGTGCACCAAACGCCATTCCGTGGAGAAATGGAAATCGCAGGAGTAGCAGATTCTTTACATTTAGGTTACGGTCATTTAGTTTGCAGCATAGAAAATCATCTTGGAGAAATATTCAATGTAATAAATTAATTTTTAGTTTTAAGAAGTGCTTAGTATATATTTTCGAACTTTCTTAATTTAAAAGATTTGAAAAAGTTCGTGACTGGTTTTTTAAGACTTTTTTAAGACTTATCTTGCATGAAGTGTCTAAAGGGCTTCAAATATTAGCAATACTAAAAAAAATATTTGAAATTTTTAATACAACTATTTATTAATAAATAAATAATAAACTATCTAATTAATAAATTATCTAATTTATAATAAAATATTAGTAAAACGTGTTAATAATTAAAATATAATTGTTTTATTTCATTTATAACTTCTTTGATATTAGATGAAACAATAACACGTTTCAACAGGACACTAATGGATTTGTATTTTTTTACTGTTGAAGTACATACCTATGGCAAAATGGAATGACAAAATATTTACTTTTGTCAATAAACAACATGTAGGCGATTGTGCAATTGATATTGTACTTCCCTTTAAAGAAATATACTTATAAACACTGTTGCACTGATGTAGGTATAAATAACGATGCAAATCCGTAAATGTAATCAAAGTTCAAGCAACCTTACACAAATAAACACGTATTTAAAACGTTAATCACACCAAGTTGTTTTCTATTAAAACCAACTTTGTAAAAAAAAGTGAAATGCTTCTAATTTTTATAGTGATTTACTTCTTGATAAAAGACACTATAGCAATTGAAATCGAAGTAGACGATGGTGTCAAAATACGAAAGGAACCAATAACTGCTTCACCAAAGGAAGATCCTGATGATCCAAAACCAACAAAAGCGGCGATACCTGAGGAACCTCAATTTCCGCATAACTGGTCTGATATTATGGTTAATACGACCAGTTGTGATGAATATCTAGCTAATGTTACATTCGATCCTTTTAAAGTGCTTGATATTGACTGGAAAATATGGTATTATTGGAATCAACATTTTGAAGAGAGCTATGAAATAAAATTTAGTATACCTTCAAGAACTGTAAGTATTGTATAATAATAATACTTACAAAAACAAGTGATCTCAGTTTTAAAGCTTGCACTTTTATTTCGTTTACGGAAGCGTTCTATCGAATTGAAACTTAGTAACGTAGGGGTAAAGTAGTCTTTTAAATGTTATTTAGAAGATTTCGGCAGCGGTAGTATATTTTTGACCAAACCTATTTAAATAAATAACTGAAGGGATCTTCAAAGGAAATCTATGGACAAATCTTTGCTGCGTTAAAATTTTGAGGTAAACACCTAAGAACCAAACGGTTCTAATGACAGTGGCTTGATCGTATCTCTCTAGGCGCTGATACTTAAATTCCCCATAGATAAAACTTTGGTTATAATTTTACAGTTAGTAGACCGCTTCAGAGTGGAATTAGATGATGAAATAAAACCAAGAGTGGAATGGGATGACGCAATACTTTTCATGGAAACATCCATTGACTTCAGTGCCCTGTTCATTAAAACTGCAAAAGATGGCCAATTCAGAGTCATCCCTTCTCTTGCTTTTGAGTGTAAGTATTAAGAACATACGTTGTAGGGATATTCATACATTTGGATAAATGGTATTATCCATTAATAATACTTTAAACAGGACGATAAATTTATGGTATGTAAATTAAAGATAAAGTACAATGTGAGTTGATGTCCGTAGCTTCAGTCATTCTTTTTCTAGAAGAACAATCGAGTTCAATAAAATTGTGTTGTGTTGAGAAGGCGGCCATGAAATTTTGCGAAAATTTAAACTCTGAATTTTTTTATACTGAATAATATTGTTGCCTACTGCAACAAGTTTATCAGAATATTAGTACACACATGACAATTGGTGCAAAAGTATCTAAAAAAGAAGTAAAGTAAGCAAGCTATCTAGTGGTTCGTGACCCTGACTGCTAAGCCAGGGGTAGTGGGTTCGATTTATAAAAGGGGAGAGACATCGAAATATTGAATACGTAGGTAATAATAATGGGTTGACAAAATGAATAAATATGAAATGTCTACCTCTTACAGTTTCTAGATTACCAGAAGTCATATTTGGAATGAAGGTAATTGAACCATACGGCTACTTGGCTCTGTTAAACTGCAAGTATCGTATCTGCTACGCACTCGCGCCTGTAAACAACATGCCATATTATGGAAAGGTACGTTTGAAATATTTTGTCAAAGATTTTGTGGGTCAACGTACCTACCAGTGTTTTTCTCTCCGTATTTCTCTCTAATCGACGCAAACGCGTAATAAGGTGTATTTAACTAGGGAAGCGATAGTAGGATTTTAGATGGTCAACTTTATAAAGGGTACTTTGACAACAGTTTTCATTATTGCTAAATTAAAATTTAAGTTCATCTTATTTTTTCCTTAAATCTTGATATCAGTATTTGACCTATAAGTAAATAAGGAGAATTAGAATTTGACTGGAGGAGGATTTCAATTGGCAGCCTCTCTTCTTTTAATCCTTGACGCTTCAGCCGTTATTGTCGGATCCTAAGTCCATTTTAGCCCGAATTTGCGGGTGCTGTTTATGAACAGGCTTGGCTAGATTTAAGACCAGATGTATTGGGTGCCTTTTCAGTCTTTGTTGACCACCTTATTAAAAAAAATGTTAAAGTATTATTTAATTTTAGTATGAAGAAGAAGCAAAAAAGATAGGTTTTCGTGGTGAGTTTGGGCGCTCCTACATAACAATATCGCCAGCTCCACCACCTATGGAGTTCGAAGACGACCTTGGAGGGCTTCATGATGATGACGAAGAAGATATTCACCTGGAGATTCAAAAACAGTTCAATGATAAAATGCAAAGCGTTTTGGTTTAACAGAAAGCTAAACAATTTAGTAGCGTAGAATGTTTTGTAGTTATTTTTGGCAGCGTTTTTGCATAAGATGAGTTTGACTGTACTTTTTTGAAAACATCTCAGAATGAAACACCGAATCGATTGTATCAAATTGGATTCGAATACTAATAACCTACTTAATTTTTGACTTACCAGATGGAAGAAAAGAAATTTGCAATCACTACTTAGATATAAGTCTTAACTAACTTAAACTAAAAATAAATCAGTAAACTTTATATTCATGTCAAGAGTACAGTAATATCAAGTAACTAATATGACAAAAATGACTAATGTAATTTTACTTAAAATTTTAATAGTAGCCATAAACTGAAACTTAATGGAGGCGATTAGATCTTAATATGCACTTGTTTTATGAATAAATTAAAAAAAAAATCGATTGACAAAAATAAATCGTACCTAGTTTATTAGAATACACTTTTTGCTCGTTTTTTTTATGTTTAGTGGTGGGGGGGGGGGGGGGGAGGGGTCGGGGGCGTTGACTTTACGTAGTTTTACCTAAAATTTATATATTATATTTTGTGTAGTGTAGTAATAGATTTTTCATGGTATGTGACCACAAGCAAGTAAGGAGTCACAAGTGCGTTGTCGTCTTTTGAGATACGCCGTAGTATTAGAAGATTTTAGAGATATCCGTAGTATTAGGAGATTTCAGCGGAGTCGTTTATTCGGCTAAAACCTTGAGCCTCTGGTAACCTCACTCACTCGGTAAATAGCAACAGAAGAATTCCTTAACACCGGTATTTTGCACTCCGGTTGAGCTGGGTTATATGTGCTGGAGCATGGTAAAACAAGAATAAGAAAAAGAGGTCAAACGGGCAGACGGGATACCTGATGATAAGCGATCACCACTAGTCATGGTTACCTGCAGCCCACATGGTTACCCAGTCACAAGAGGGGGGTTGAACTCCGGTAAATGATTGAATGTATTTACAGGGGCAAAAATTACTCACTATTGTACTCTGTCTAAGAGATCTGGTGTCGTTTTAAAAATATCAACTCAGTAATTGTTAGTTGACTTGCGGAAGTAATCTGACCGGGTTCGATTTCTCGTTATACACATTTGCTGTCAACCTTTATTTAATATACTCGTATCTGGACATTTCAATAGGTGATTAATTAGTTATAAATTTTATTTTGATTAACGTCTGCTTCACATAAAAATTATCAATAAAGTAAACGGAAAAAAACTATTTCTAATAGATATCCATATACATAAGATATATAGTATACATAAAATTACAAGGCCTTTGATTTCACAAATCGCTGACAGACAATGCACAGTCTAACTGAAGTGTGTATCTAAATACTAAAAAATCAGGAGAATTGTTTAATGGTAACTCTTTTGTACAAATATATCGGAAATAATTTACAACATTTTGTAGTTCAATATCCAGTGCTCTAGTGTTTTATGAGTGCCGATAATAATTTTAATCTTTAAATTCAAAGCTATGCGTACATCAATCTATCACCGACAAACTGTTGACAACACCTGTACCATACACGTACTTATATTTGGCAGAGTTATACCAGAAACTGCACTAAACACAATGTATAGGTTGATGTGTGCGTTTTTCATTGTTCTAATAAAAACTAGTGAGTCTAATAAACGCCAGAAAAATCCTGATGTTGTAAATATACCGAGCAAAGTCGATAATATTGATCATCTGGCATGGCCTGTGCCTTTTGGACATGTATATAAAGAAGGTTTTGGAGATATTGGAGGTTTGAAAGCACCAGTAGATATTTTAGATCTAAATGTCAGACATCCAATGACATCGGAAGAAGCGAGGGAATTGCTGCAAACCACGGATCCGCATAAAATTCAATTTCATACGCAATATGTAGAAGCTAGGGGTTATACAAATCCGAGAGACAGGGCTTTTAAGGAACTAGGAATCAAGGGACCGGGACCTGAAATAAATGCGACGCAGTTTAAATGGTTTAATTTAGGTGATTTAGAAGCAAGGAACGTGGCGAGAAAACCTTTTGTAAATCCTCCTCGGAGAACTAACGGTGGGCGTCGTCCTGTTGGCCCACCGCCTATGAATAGCAGTAATTTAATTCGTTCGTCATTTGTTCCGCAGCGCGAACACCGTACGGGTAATGTTAATTTAACACAATGTGATGAATTTGGCAGTAAGGCATACTTTTTTCCGAAAGATATAGTTAATTTGGATTGGGTACCATTTTACGTTTGGGCTTTTGAGAATCAGACAGCTAGAATTCACTCATTTAAATATGCTACTAAAAAGGTAAGTGCATCATTTCTATTTTGAACCTATCATTAGCTTCAATCGGTAATAAATCGTTCGTTACCCTTTCATATATATAAGTAAATTGTTGATATAAACTCATTTAGGTAACTCGATTCAACAAAATATACAGCAGATCTAATTTCAATTAATCATAAAAATTACTTAATATCAAATCCACTACTGTATAACTACGAGTATTAACACACAGGTTTTGCTTCTTAATTTTTTTAATCCAAAAATCATTTTTTATCTGTTAAATAAACTTTATTGCTTTTACCACAACATAGTAAGAAACAACAGTTGTAGTTAAACAACTTAGGTACATTAAATCTGTGCTCTGGTTCATTACCATAATTCATACATATTGACTGACACAGTTAATAAAACTAATGAAAATAACAAGTTCAGTATCAGTGTACACGATTTACTGTTAAACTACCTGATCGAATAAATGTTATCAAGTCCAAACTTTAAGACCCTATTGTCAATTTGTTTCGGAACTATTTCTATTTTTATCCCTAAGAACGGAAATCTTAGCCCACTACCAATACCGATAGTCCCTATACAGTAAAAAATATTAATTTCTTGTAGTAGGCGTAAATACGCCTACTACAAGAAATCTATAAAATGAGTAAATGCTCATTTTATAGATTTATATTTTTCAGCTTGTCCGCTCAGTTCGAGAATTATACCGCAAATTTATTAAAATAGATTGGGAACAACCTAAATTGCTATACAATGGAATTGGTCAATTTCTTCTCGTTGCAGCTGATAAAAGAGGATTGTTCCATGCTTTGCAGATAATAGATTCACCACCAGCTGAAGGTTGGTACATTTTCGTCAATTATAGATCGAAATATAGACCTGAGAACTGTCTGTTAGTTTTCCTTTTGCTTCAAATTAATCCAATACTCTTCTCTCAGTTAGTACTTTTAGGTTTTTTTTATAATTGAAGATCTGCTACTTATAAATATCGACAATCGTCAAGCAGTAGCTCTACCGAGCAGTAGCCACTGTGTTGTTATAAATGAATGAAGACAATAATATTCTGCTTACATAAAAATTATGATGTATCTCTTTGCAGTCGTAGGGTCAATACCATACACACGACTACGTTTAAAAATTGAAGATCCTTATTTAGTCGTGATGTACTGCACAGACTATTTCGCTGCTATCATGGCTCTTGTAGGTAATGAACCTCAGACAGATAAAGAAAAAGAGGAAGAGGCAAGCACTGTCGGAATAAAAGGAAAAGGTTTTCCCGTCTCTAGGGATCTCCAAGAAGAAAAAATGAACGCAATGAGAGAACTCGAAATGAAACAAATACCAATAAAACCAGTAGATGCCGATGTACCAAAACTAAAGGATCCAAAACCACAGACACAGACATTTATTTAGGTATATTTAAAATAATAAAGAGAGTAGTAATTTAAAAAATGTATATAAAAAAATCATGAATCTTAATTTTAGAACAATCTATGCAAAAAAGTAGATTTTTGAGTTTGTAAATCTTGTCAATTCATATTTTAACATTAATTATTAGTACTAGTTTCTTACAATTCCCGATGTATATATGTCTACAAAAATAAATAATTATTTCATTGATGTGATCCTTAACTCTTTTTCTTAGAAAATCTTAGTTGGCAGAAAAGCCGTCTGCTTGGAAACTATCAAGTGTGATTTAAAACAATTTTAATATTCTTTTTGAAGGAACCTATACTGTAATTTCTTGGTAAAACTATCTGCATTATTTTACAACTAGAGAGCGAAAATTTCTTTATAACCACCTCTTACTCAAGTTTTCTTAATCTTATGTGTGACAATGTTATCTACTCGCCCGTGAAGACATATACTCTAATAGTAAGCCAAATAATACAAGTGAAATATAAGTTCAGCGGGGTTGGTTTCAAATTTGGTTTATACATTTAATTCTCAAACTGACTTAAGATTTAACAAATATTTATTGCTTATGCATATATTTATTACTGTTCTGTTTCTAGAAGTTACAGTATAACGTTATGAAACTCAGAACCTTCTTGGTTAAACGGTCTATTTAAAGAAATATTCAAATGGGACTGATATTTAGAGTGAAGTGTTATTTTTATAGAATTAGCCAATACAAAACTGGTTCGAAATTAGAAAACCATGAATATTTTTCATTTTTATGTAAGCATCAAGGTGAAATCAAAGTATCAAAAGTGAGTACTTCGATAATTTTATTTCAATAAAAAAAATTTTAGTTCATGGAAGGATGTACTGAACATAACATGAAAGTTAAAAGTATTTCAACCCTAAACTGAATGAACCATTTGACAATGATGGTTCTTCAAAATGATAAACAACAACAATTCCTTGAAGAGCAAACATTTCCAATCAAACATCCTTAACAACGGTTATAAAAGAAACATTGACGCAGCTACATCGGTATTACCGATTTGTACTCAAACTCAGTTATAATATCTTTGACTATTTCAAAAATGTTAAAAAGTAAATTCCTGTTAATAATTATAACTGCATTACTAGTTTGTATGATTACTGTAAATGAATCAAAGAAAAGACGAAAAATACAAGGACCTAGGTTGAGTCACAAAGAATCAACGAGCTGTAGCGAGTTTTCAAAATATGGACGCTTCAACCCCTATTCTGTCCTGAACGAGACATGGTTCGTATTCTTTTACTGGGCAGCGCCGCGGCCGATTGATACCTACAGATTTTTTATACCAACAGCTAACGTAAGTATAATAATTTTAATATAATAATCTCCATCTATTTAATGGACTGCAGTTCATATTAGAGTTTCGTATACCTCGCTGACATCGAGGTCTTAGTTTATCAGGAAGAAAATAGCTAAACTATTCTGGATTCAGATCGCAATTAAAGTTCAAACGCAGTGCTGATAAATGGTACTAGTTTAAAGTAAAGGAGAAAATAATTTAGTGGTCATGATCATGATCATTGTCCTGTCAATATTGAGGAGCTTATTACTATTAAGCCATCTTGCTTAATGTTACTTTGTTTCAATAGCACACCAAGATACTCCACAAAGTATTCGACGGGAAAGTGACAGTACCAGTGAACTGGACTGCACGTCTTGTGATTATGCAGAACAGATTTAATACTACGTGGTTACTTGTTGAGCGAGGAGACAGAGGACAGTACTGGTCATATATGCTTAGACGAGGTAACTTTAATAAGTTTATATTTTATTTATCACTTTACGCATAATGTGTAGAGCGGAGTTCTTAGGTAATGCTAAAGGCATTCTCTGCCAGTCTGCCTTAGGATGATGTGGAAATGAGTGAAAATAAGTGCATAAAAAAGTATTCAAGAATGTTATGTAAATAAGTAAGATGTATGTATATAAGATACATATTCTATATACATATTTTTTTATTTTTACCTTTGTGATTGCTCAGCGGGAGAAAGGAGAGCACGAACCTTAAGTTTAAGCGAAGAATCACGTAGAAAATTAACCATTTGTAACTTCTAGTTGTAAACTAGCCTAGATGTTGGTAAGCTTTTGCATCTAGACACTCACACCTGTAGCCCAAAAGGGGTTTGCAAAGGCTTATTAAACGACTACATTTTGCCAACCAAAATTTACGTTATAGCGGGTAAGCCTAGCCCCTATTACGTAATGGAGCCGAGCACTTTGGAACTTAAAAAATAAGAAGACTTAACTTAAGAAACACATTGAAATAGATAGGTCGACAAAAAAGAAAGGAGAGAAATTATTGTAAACTACCTGTTGTCCGCGACTTTGTTCGCGTGGAATTTGGAAAGCGCTGCCTTAGTGGGTTCGATTTCCAGATCGGGCAAAATTTTAAAGGGTTTTCTGAGAGAAAAATAGCCTAAGTTACTTCTTATATAGACAACTACCTGGTAGTAAAATATTATCAAAATCGGTCAAGCCGTTTTGAAGATTATCCAGAACAAATAGACAGACAGACAGAATAACAGACAGACAGACAAAAAATATTTAAACTGGTTGTTCGTGCAAAACCGTGTGAGCATGACAAAAACCTATTATTTTGACATTACAAACAGACACTTCAATTTTATTTATTTGTATAGATATTGCTGATATGTACAAATAGAGGAGTATGAGCAATAGCTTAAGAATATCGGGGCCCTATGTAACTGGATGTTACCTGAAAGAACTTAGTCAAGTAGAGTAAAAATATATTTTTCTAAAAAAAAAAGGGACACCTTATTACCTCCACCGACATTGTATTTTTGCATTGAAACGTGGACCTTTTTAATAAAATAAGACTACTTACAGAACTATTTCCTTATTGTAATATATTGTCATCAGACTTATAGAATAATTATCATGAAGGGTTTTTTAATTTTTTAAGGTTCAGAGACACTGAAATGCATGCCCTTTTTGGAGACAAGGTTCTTTTTTAAAGTAAAGCATAAGAACGTCGCTACACTAGTTAGACCGATTACAACACCCAGGGCTCTAGGCACAAGCCTGTTTACTGTGAAAGTTTTTAGAACAGAAACTGAACTTTGACTTGAGTAGAGAAAATCCCATTAATTCCTCATTATAAGTCTTCTGTACTTACGCTTGCTTACAATTTAGTTTAAATGAAAGTTTCTTATGTTAACAGCTAAGAAAAAATTAATAAAGGCTCAAAACATTCGTTTGAGACAACACGACAATGGTCGTCTACTCGGTTTGATGGAGTGCCAGGTAGGTACCGCTTTTATTTTTAAGCTATTGCATAGCTTCTATCGCGGGCCTTGAGCGTGGAGACCGAATCCAGAAATTCCGTAACGAAAATAACCTAACACTCCGACCGGTACAGCGGTGATACTTTTTAGTTTTGCCATATATCGATGAATAGCAGAACTTTTATTAATGTGATAACATCCACATACAATACCCCCCCCCCCACCAAAAAAATTATAATTGCATTGAGTTCCCTTCAAAACACCTCCCCTCTCCCCCCTCAAGTTTTTTGGAGTATTTGGACCCCCATGTTTTTGATCGTCTGAACCGGGAAAAGGAGACAAACAATCTGGTATTTTTAGCTGATACCCGCGACTTTGTTTGCGTGGAATTTGAAAAGGCTGCCTTAGTGGGTTCGCTTCCCGAGCCGGGCAAAATTCTATAGGCTTTTCCTAAGATAATTATTGAATACTAGCTGGAACCCGGAACTTCGTTTGCGTTTAATAGAAAAAACTTGGATTAATATCAAAGAAAATAAATCAGATTTGTCTATTGTTTTTTTTCTATTATTTTGGCAGTCCCCGAGTGCCACACGTCTTTTTTTATTTAACTTATAATGAAAATGTGGATATTTTACCGACATGGAAGAGTTCTGATGTAGGGTCAGTATTTTGAGTTAAGTCAGAATCTTTTAATTGTTTTATAGTGGGCACTATTTATCATTATTGTGGGATTACCGGGTACTCAATATATTGTGATTACACCTACTTTTTAATTTTTTATCATCATCATCAACAGCCTATAACAGTCCACTGCTGGACATAGGCCTCTCCTTAAAAAGGAGGGTTTAATTCTTTGGCCGTGTTAATATTTTTTTGGGATTATTGGGATTTGACGTTGTAAATTTCATAGACTGATACCGATTTCCATTAAAATTTTAGTCGTACGACTTGGCAATCGTTCTAACTTCTTTCGGTCGTAATCTAAGCTAAATCTGATTTGAATGTATTTTACCAGTAGGGTTGATGATGGGTTCTTTTGCTTATTACAGACTGAATTCCTCTATGTGATGTCAAGAATAAGAGAAGTACCATTACACAATAGACTTCAAGATGAGGCAGCGCGTTTTGGATTTCGCGCTAGGAGAGGTAAATCTTACTTATATCAAGGTCACGAATGGATGCCCATACCCGAAGCCGATGAAAATGATTATTTCGAAACTTTGTTGCCTGATTTAGCTAATGAAACAAATAATCCAGAAGAGATCACCTTACATGTGAGTGATCAATCTACAGAAGACAGAAAAACATGTAGCCTTAAAGAAAAATTATCAAAATATAAATCAGTAGATTTTAACTCTCCTGATAGTTGCATTCAGACTGAGTCTAGTAAAGTCTCAAAAAAAGCTGATTCTAATAAAATAAGAATAGACAAATCTGATTGCAATGATGAATGGGCAGAATCAGCTGATTTTGATAGTAAAAGAGAGGAAAAATTAACTGGTAAAGGAAAATCAGGAAAAGCTAATTATGACACGACAAAAACAGAAGGAGCTGATCAGAAAGAAAAAGTTGATTCTGATAATTTAAGAGCGGAAAATCCTGCTTCTGATAATTTAAGATTAGAAAACGTGGAATCTGATGTACGCTCGGAATCTCAATTTACTAATGAACGTAAAGAACCCGATCCTACTAACGAATTTGTAGAACAATCCTCTAAGATACAAACACCGTCTAGTTCCAAAATACTCGGAGAACGAGAGAAATTAAATGATATAAGAGAAGATCAGTATACTAATGGTCTTAAAGAATCTGAATCTGCATTTGCAAATATAAAAGATCTTGAAAAATCCACAGATGTACCAATGGATACCGAAACTAAAGTTACAACCGCACAGAAAAACTTGCATTCCACCGATTTAGCAGAAGATATTACTGATGACCTACCAAATGACTGGGGGGATTTTCATAAAAACAGTTACACAACCTACTTAAGACCTGTTGAAAATACAAATTTTATTGAACAGGAACCACCTAAGATTAATCATAAAATAAAGGATCCGATAGCTTCATCTGGTGTTTTACCTGAAAAATGTTATAAAATGGAAATGGTATCAGAAACAGAAGATTTCACTCCTGCATATGTACCTCCTATATTTAATGAAATGTATGAAACAGAAACGACAATAAACTCCAAAACCACAATGCAAGAAAAACATCAAAACTAAAAAGTAGGTATATTTATAATGTTGTACTTATCTCGTAGGTTTAATTTCATTGATATAGTACAACAAAGAAAGAAGAAAAATGACGTTGATATAAGTTGCCATGGTATTTGAAGCCTAAATTAGAAGCAATACAAGATTTTTATTCTGAAATTCTTCTATATTTAATACAAGTTGTGACATCCTTTGTACATATGTAAGTTAGTTTCATTAAAAACTAGCTATCTTTCGTAAAGGCAGCATTTCCTTATGATCTTTTTTATATCCCTAATTTTCATTTTAAATTTATTTGTGTACATGTAGTTACATTTAATCCCCTAAAACCGGGTTGATGGTTTGACTGCTGGACTGTCTATATATTTTTAATTCAAATTGTGGAAAATTTAAAATTAAAAAAAATGTGGACAGTTAAGGCTTTACGCCTAAAAGTAAGTGAAGTTTAAGTGTAACAAACAAATAAATAAATAAGAAAACAAACAGATTTACTCAAACATTTATAAACTGCTAAGATAAGATTTAATTATGTTTTATTCAAGATGAAAGTATTTATAAATATGTATCAATGTAGATTTTTTAAGTTTTCTTTAATTAAAACGATAGTGGTCAACTGTACCGTTGACCTTTAGAATGGAAAATGTATTGAAAAAGCGGTTGCTCTAATATTTATTGTATGAAAGATGTTTAACTCATTCAGTACAGAAAAAGTAAATTAAAATTCCATACATTTAAAGCACGGCCAAATGTAAATTTAATAAATTTCTTTTTAAATATTGTGTCATGAATTAACATCATTTACCAAATGTTAGTAACAAAAACTATTTAACTGTAAAATTACTCTCATCAACATTATTCTATACACCAACATATTTGGAAATAAATATAGGCTAAGTTGTTTCTTAAATACATTCATTCCGAACAGTTGCAACGTTTTACTATAGACACTTCAAAGTCCTAGCTATCTATCTCAAACTTCAACCTACCGTGTTAGATTATAGAATACACAATTCAATGTCAACTAACACTGTTTGGTGTGTATTAGTGCAATTTGAACTTAGATGGTGAGAGTTTGTAAACGACAGTGAGAGTACTGTACCGGGGTCAAATTTATTCATTATTGTGATTTTGTAATAAACCATTTAATGGGCAACATGTATTAACGTCCACTGACTTTATCGCTATGGAAAGCTGCTTGTCTATACAGTGTATAGTGAAACAAAAGTGTGTTAAACCTAATTTTGTATTTCAGTTACTGACTATAACTACCGGAGTGTAGTAGAGTAGTATAGTCATCTCAATAGTCATAGTCAAAATCTGCAATTTAGAGTATTTGACTTCAAGACCCATATTATAATTTATTATCATATTATCAACCAAAATGCTCTTGCTGGCTCCGTTAATTGCCGCCTTAAATATTTCATTAATTATGAATGCTATTGTTACTTTAAGCCCCTAAGGGATTTTTCAACAATTACCGGGTAATTAAGCAAAGTGAAGCTTTACAAAAGTTTTGAATAAAACATGAAATTTGAAAAGTTTATTTGCAATCCGGTGAATTAAAATACAAGACTGGCAGTACCGATTAGCGCGTCACTGTGAAGTCACTCAAGTTCTGTGTTATCTGAAGTCTTGTAGGTATCTGTGTGTGCGTGTGTGTATCTTAATCTTTATGTCCCTGTGTTTTCTGGCAAACTGTGTAGCTTGAAAGAACAATACACTGCACAAATTCGTTAAGCCGGATGAAACTACAAAACTCCTTAGCAGGCCTAGATCGAAACAGAAATCTGCTATACTTATCTTACAGCTAAAATTTAAAGCTTAGCGTGAAATAAGCGCGAGTTATTTGTCAAGATCGTGGAAAATAGCATTCTATCGTCTCTGAATACCTGTCGGCAATGAGGCTTGAGTGTATGTAATAATTAACATCAAAATGACAACTGGCAGAGAACTATTAAAATATTTAAAGTAGATTGTGCCATTCTATAACTACATTCAAGCCAGTCTTCTATATAATACCTTTATAAACGTTTTATTAGCTGTAAATTATCTTACAAAAATATACCAGATACATCCTGCGACATGTACAAAACAAAAACAATTCAACAACATGTTCTCACAGATGGACGCTCTTCGGAAAACGATTAAGCATTCAAAACTGGTACATTCAGTTTAGTTTACTACGACATTTAGTATCTAGACTATTTTAATGGCTAGGAAGCGGCGACTGTAAAGAACCTCTCCGGTATTATAATATTACACAAGACGCGTTAACCCGTCCACTTTGGGTATAAATTAGATAATTTATGGTGTTTTTTGTGTGAGTTTGGCCCTACTAAAGGTTTACGAAATTAAATGCGCTCGTTATGTAGTTATCGACTTTATAGAGAGTTTAATAAATGTTGTAAGAGTTACTAATTTGAGATGTTACATAACTTTACTGAGTGCAATGGAACACAACAATGCCTTAACGTAATATACTCTTGTTATTCTAAGAATTAAGAGTTTTTATTTTATTTTGCATAGGCGTGTATTCTATGTATATTTTTCGAACATTAATAATGTCAATTGTTTGAAGGCTATTTTGCAACTTTAATTGCTAAATATAGCAATTAAAGTTGCAAAATACAGAAATATAATTATCAAACTTTAGAAATTTGCTGTTCTTTTTAATAACAAATGGCTGCACAATAAGAAATATCATTAAGGAAATAAACACGTCTAACATTGACACTGTACTTATAAAATACTGTTAGTTAATAAATTATGTAGTCACTTTTTGAAGAACAACAACTGTGTTACGACTTGCGAGACTTGGTATTTTACGTTTATTATTCATTTTAAGACACTAATCTACATTTTGCAACTTACATTTTCAATCCCAATTACAAGACTAACTAAAATAAACCCTTTTAATGTCACTACTTTCTGGTCTGATCTGACTGACAATACGCGCTTTGTCGATACCAAAGTGAAATCCAAAGGATACCACTGTTTAAGTTTTATATTTTCATTTATTTAATACTTCGTAAGTAAATTAAAACCTTTAGGGTACTTGCTTCACATGATCTAGAATCATGAAAATTGATGACAAGAAAGGACAATGACAAGTAAAGCCAAAATTGTTGATTCTTTTCGTTTGTTTGCAACGATGTTTAGGATTTAATTGCCGAGATAGACTAACTCTGAACATAGTGTTCCGTGTTTTACTTCAGATATGAAATAATTTTCTGCTGGAATCCATGTGAAAATTCTTCTTGTTTCTTGATATTGGGCTTTATTCGATGTGAAACAGTTTTGTTTTCGGGTAATAAGTACTACATTGGGGTCTAACATTTTCTTTATGTAGTTGGAATCACTACAATCACAATCACTCATAAATTTCAATAGTCTCTACACACATATATGTATCGTATTATAAATCGGCGGCTCCAAGATTCCGTCTTGTGTTCTTTTTAGTGCACTTATAAAAGTACAAGTTTATGCCACTTAAATATAATGTTGCAATAGAAATACCTATTTTAACAGTATAATTTTTTCACCCGAATTACGCATTTATTGCAGTAAAAATATAAAGACCCATGTACACACTCGTTCAGGACCAATATAGCGGAAACGGTGTCTTGACATGATGCCCGCTACATCGGCCTTACTACTCCTTCTCATAGCAAGTAAATACCCACATTAATTATAAGCTCAAATTGTTTTTACTAATATACTGATAAAGAAGGACTTGGGCCACTGGATAGTTAAACGGCAATGCCAATAGACTTTGGCTCTAAAAGCTCTGAATATACCACTAACCACCACAAAACAGACCACCAGTGTTGTGCTGGTAGTATTTTTACATATATTTTTTTAGCGTTTGCAAATAATTTGCATGAAATTGACTGCTGTCTGTATTGATGTATAAAATGTAATTTTAGAAAGGCAGAGTTCAGTTTGTGTCTTGGAAACGGCCAAAAATCAATCAATCATCAACAACCACGGCCAAAGAAATGGATGAAATATCTTCATACAAGTATGCAAAGAACCTCAACCACACTCGCATGTATTAATTTTTTTTGTCTTTAAAGAGACAACTCCCGCATTCGGAATATTTTGTGTCGCGGGGGACTTATACTATACATGAAACGGACAGAAAGATTTTAAATGTTAGGTGTAGTTCTATAAGCAAAAGGTTTACAACTAACTTTTAAACTTTCATAACTGGCTTTTAAACTTCAATTTTCCCTATTGTGGTGTCGGGATAATTCTCGATATTTGGTTAATACAAAAGATGTACTGTGACACCTATTTTATGATCCCAATAATTCCCGAAAACTTAATTAATTTATAAAACCATAGATGTTGACCGATTCTGTAAAGGAGACACTATACATACATATATTGTATAGCTAAGTGTCTTACAAAACGCTTAAATGTATTGACGCGGTGTACTAAAGACCACAGCAGGGGATCCCACCATAAAACTGAAATTTTAAGACCAGTCGTGCAACAAGCTTCTAGATATCAAAGTAAATGCATCTTAGAAATATAATTTTATCCTTTACGACAGCATAAAAACTGAAAATGACCCAACCAACCAACGATGTATGGCCTAGTCAATTTTGAAAGCGCAAAATATAAGTTTTTATGGCAAAAAAATGCGATATGTCAATAAATTAACAGCTTTTGGTTAATTTGGATTTTTATGGTATAGTTGGACAAACGGGCAGACGGGTCACCTGATGGTAAGTGACTACCACCGCCTATTGACACCTGTAATTCAAGAGTTACAAGTGTGTTGCTGCCCTTAAAGTTTTATGATTCTATGTAACTAAAAAGTACCCTAGAGCTTTAGAGTTACTTACAAAATGTCAAAATATATGGTACATGACCATATATGTAAACTACCTAAACTTGAAAACTTGATTTTTTGTACCTTAAGATGATATGGATAGAAACTAAAAAACAAAAGACATCATTGAGATTTCCTTTATATTGCAAAAAGATATGGTATCTAAGTC